AATTGATGCATGTGTAATCGACTAAACGTACTGGTGTCATTGAAATCTTTCATAGAGTTTTAGCACTGGGGAAGCAAGCTATATCTATAATATCTTACCAGAAGAAAAGGCAGATGAGAAAAGAGCATGTATCACGATCTTCACAAAAATGAGAACTTAGTGGGTAATAATGAGTGTAACCTGCGTTCAGATATCGATGAAAGAACAGGAAGGATTCTTTGGGGACTGGCTCTAGATCCAGAATGAGCAAACTTGTTGGCGTTAGTTTATGTAACCTTTTGGGAGAGGGGACGAAGGCTATTTCGCATTGGAAGAAGAGTGTTTTGGAGACGTATAAGACTGATGCACGCCTGAAGAGCTTGGTTAGTCGTTTTACATAGATGGGTCCTGAACAGTGTTTCCAATCGCCAATCGTCCGGATTGCAACCTGACAATTAAAAGCTCCTAGTGTCTGTACACAATTCAACATTCAAAATAGATTCAATCTCAATTGTAGGACTCTCAGTAAAAGGCCGTTCAAAAATGACGTTCAATACCATCAGCTTTCGAGTTTGGATAACAAATTATATTACTACCAGACGCTCCGGATCCAATATGTGCGGTTTATATACAATCTGTCCCAGCGTACCTGCTCGTCCCCGATCGAGAATACACAAAATCCAAGAAATCTAAAGCACCAGTTATGTATAATTAATGTACGCCACCAAAACCAAACCACTTCTCTTCGAATCCTTTCAATTCGTCGTATGAATCCCAATCTTCAACGACAACCAAATCTTCAGCATATCCATCGAAAGTAGACATACTCGTTACCAATCTAGGGTTGACAGCTACATCTAATTTTATACCCTCCCCGATCTTTTCATTTGGCGAATCAATATTACCATATGTGGTACCTTCCTTGAAAGAATCATCGCGGATTCTATGAACCTGCGCCCAAAGTGGCTTCTGGAAATGAGAATGCTTAATCAGATTCGCATGTACGAACATCCACTTTCCATACGGATCTGCTTGAAGCATCGTATGTCCTCCCGATTGAGGATTTCCGGGTATCTTTGCAGCTCCAACAGCATTCACTCTTCCTGGGCCGGTCCATGGCTTTCCAAGAAGAAGTGCAGCAGCCCGAAACGAATCCCGATCACCTCCCATAAATCCATAGAATTCTTCATGATGAAGTGCAAAATACTCAATCAACCATAGGATATCCTGATGACGAGTTCGAGATATCATGACCTGCCCAGATTCTCCTTCGTATTCATTTCGACATTGCTGACCCAACAACCGCCACATTGGATTGGTGGGATGAGATTTTGAATAATCAGGCCATAATAAAAGTCCTGTATCTCTCCATTCTCTTCCTTCAAACAGATATTCGGGATTCCGTAGAGGATAAGAATCTGTATCTAGATACAAGATATCGTCAAATGAAGACTGCTGAATAGCGGCTCCCTTTATTTGAAAATCTTTCCACCCCGACCCTTTGGATACGTCTCCTACTACACGCATTGTAACATTAATGCCGCTAGTACCGGAATCAGAATTTTGCAACTCTTTTAGATCGGAGAGAATACTACTAAGAGCAGGCGCAGATAATTCGGAGTCGAAATGAAATATTTCGACTGGTAATGTGCAGTTGTAAGACTTCAGAAGTCTAAGAGAAGTTCGCGCACGAATCAGGGCGTGTCGATCTCCCGCGGCCATTACAATTCCTCTTTTGATCTTCTTCTCCATTCCCGGCACGTCGGCGCTAGAAGGTGATGACGAGCTCGCTTTGCTAATCGCCTCAATTTGTTTGCGACGTAAATTCGTTGTGATACCTTTGCGCCACGCATAAATCTGAGATGAAGGTATGTCTGCCCATGTTTTCACATTTCCGTCAACAGCACCTCGGTCAAAGTTCGTCCCATTAACCGGGCAGGTTTGGGAATTTATTGAGACAGCCTCATTGTAAGATAGAACCGGGCGAGATAAAAACTCCTCCAAGATTCCATTCAGCCTTAAGATCTCTTCTGAATCTGGTGGTGTCTCGTAATGAAAATAATTGTAAGCTTTCTGCGGAATATAACTCGATAAATCGTCAGAGTTTAAATGTGAAAGACTAGCGATCAAAGCTATGAAAACGATGGCGCCAAAAGTAGCGAGTGCACGAGTTCGCCTCATTCTTTGATAACTTTACCAAAAATGAGAGAATCTGAAATAAAACTCGGAACGATCGGATTAATGAATTGTAATGTAATGGGGATTCTCCTTCGAGTGCAACAAGCTCATTGCAAGCAATTGCAAGTAATATACAAAGATCTAGGGCAGAGACATGTGTAATGTATGTTGGCGGCGCAGTGTCTCGGATGATCTTAAAAGGCAAATAGATATCTTGACACAACAGCCATCCAAAAGAGTGACCCGCTGGATTAAATATGTTTAGAACGGTTGAAGTTCTAATTAAAGGTAGACTGGCGGCTAAAAGAGCTATTCCAGTGTCCAAGACTTCATTTTGAGGACTCTTGAATGATCCTGGTGAAATATTAATCCGTAAAATGATTACGAGGGCGTGTCTTTGATGAATGCCGGGTCTGTGCACAGTGATATTTCCTTATCAAAATAAGCACAAACTCATTTATTTTGAAATTCAATAGCAATTAAAATAAGAATAATATTTGAAAAATCTTTTCAAATTCGAATAATTTTTTATATCAAGATTTATATATAAATTTGATAAAATAAGCTTATTAATATTTATAAAGTTATATTCATTTTAAAAATCATATAGTAAATATTAGTGAGTTAGGTTATTTTGCCCGGCAATCATCAAAGACACGCCCTTGTACGCAGCTTTCGTTTTTTCATCATCTCCAATTATTGGGATATTCATGCATTAGAATATTGACAAAAAGCGGAACCTTGGTACCATGTCGGCCATTCTCAGAGATATCTTACCTTGGATCAGGATTAAGCGCGAAGGTAATCCGAAGTTAATCCGAAGTTTCCTCGCACGACATGTGCACATGAGGTTAGCTCCAATGTGAAACGGCTATACGCGCTTTCATACCATGGATAGATGAGCCTTGCCCAAGGACAATCTTCTCGACATCGTCTACCTTCGTTATATATCGAATCGAAATACGAGAGATCATCCGAGATACATGACAAATGAAGAGGCATTTGTTGAGGAGAAGAGAGCCGGAAGATTTCTGTCTCTCCTAGAGCCAAGACTTCAGCCCGTATTAACTAACTAATGTGCTCTCGCGAAACTCTGCGACGTCTGATATTTAACGATAATCATTACTCACAAAGACATTGCCATCGCGACCTTTTTACTTGCGAATCGATACATTATCTGCGGAGCAAAATTCATAGGGGTTGAGGGACGTGGTGGCATCAAGCAAGACACAATCAATCTAAATGTAAAGATTCACACTATGAGAAGCTTGACTATGTCTATGTTAATCACTCCATGTAGAAAACCTTTCCTTTGGATTTCAGATCAGCGAATGTATCTCGAATAAAAGTGCATCGAGTCCCAGTTTGGGGTAAGGGAATGTTCTTACTTAATATTGGCCACAGAGTGACTACCCCAAGGGAACAAAAGGCTCAGTCCCCCATGGTAGCCATGTTTTTCCAACCTCGAATTCTCCCTTAATGGGTCGCCACATGAAGTATCTGTCGACATCAGTCATTGCCCATACACAATCAAGATTCTGAGTAGTGCTCACTGAGGCTTAGGAGACAGTGTTTCTTCCAGATCTTTCCAAGTCGTACTTAAATTTTCAATACTGGTGTCAACCACCACCTTGTAGTATGTCATGAATCCATACTTTTCGTATAGTAATCTTCCCGTCTCGGTCGCCTCTACATATGCATCGACGCCCAATACATCAGCTTTTTCGATACCCCAATCCATCACCAACTTCATAGCACCCTTTCTTCGAAATTCTGGAATGGTGAACGCGATGTTCAAGACTGCAATATTGCGACTTTAGCATGGATCCTGTGTTCCCGGCGAGTACAATATCAGATACGCTTATACTTACGCAAGTATGGTCGATTACAATGTAGGTAATACTTATGGGCCTCAATCTGTCGAATGAAATTGTTGGCATATTCTCGGCCGATTCCCTCGGGCCACCAAAGAGCAACGACTGGATTTGTATCGTTGACAGTGTCTAAATTTCCTTCGAAATAAATCCAATTTGCAGCTCCGACCAGCTTTCCATGCGTAGGCTCAATAATCTTCATCCAACAACTATTAGGAGATCTCTGTGCATGGTGTCTTAAAGCAGATTCTGTGGCTATCTGGATAGATCGCTCTCGTTCCTGGGGAGAGTCATCTTTGAGATAATAGACTATTCGAAGATAGGAATTGAAAGGGTTCTCAAATGCTTCCCAACAAGCTGTCATCATTTCTTTGAAGTCATCTTCGCTTCCGAACTCGAGACGCTGGAGATTCGATTTCATTGTAAATATGGATTGTGGTGAAGGTGAGGTTGCAGGTCGGTATCATTTAGTGAACGATAGAAGACATATGAAATATTATTTTGGCAAATCCCGAATTCAATCATTAACGTCACTATGCCGTGGCTATGCATTGACAGTGCCCAATGTCTTATTTTGCAATCTTAAAATTGGTCACCTTTACTTTTCCTTCGACCTAGAACGTTAAATTTGAAGTTCTGCGCCCTTTAATACTTCTTTCCGCATTTGTTTTGACGCGTAAATGATCATTGGATCAACATATCTGGTGACTACCATGTTTTCAATACATCGCGACGTACAGTGCTGTCGCCTGATGACATTCTGATCCCAATGTTTGATTATCAGTTCCCTCTTTAACGACAATCAAACCACGATTCTTGCTTACAACTCATTAAAATTTCAAATTTTGACCTACCATTTTTTCATAGGAGGACTAAGGAGGCAACGGATGATGTGGATATGAAATTTACACAGAGATTACATACGAATGAGATGAATATTGCAAGAGAAGATGGTTATTGGAGTCAATAATAAGCCGCGGAAGCTGAAGATGTTTTATCTACCTAGGCATGGTATATGAAGTTGCGCCACATCTATTCAAACCTCGTTCCTCAATTCTAGATCCTTAAAGGGCTTCAATGAGGAAGAGGAGTCCAGGTCATGCTGAAAAGCGAATGAGAGTATTATGAGTGCGGCGACGGGGGTTCAGATGCCGCATATGTCACTGGTTACGAAGGAGTGTTACCTAGATTTAGCACCGGATGGCGTAGAGAAGAAATGTATTTATATTTTTCGAGTGGTAGGTCAGTCTCCTTTTTGAAACCGATGAGAGGAGAGGAAATGCGGCGCTGGGCCGGGCATTCGCGCTTTGGGGGAATGCGCATTTGTATGGCTTTTGTCATGGTAGAAATTGGGATCTGAGGAGGAATATGATGGTTATGTTTTGTGATGGTTAAGGAAATGTAGCAGTTTTCATAGGCTGGACGTCACTATGATGATTAGAAGGTTTTGATTTCTGCATTCGATTGCTATTTTGGACTATTGGATACCCTTGGACAATATATGAATAGCTTTGCTTTCACGATTTGAAGATTTTGGACTGCCATAAGCAATCGCTTGCTGTCGTCATTCACGTTGAGAACATTATGTAGAAGTGCTGTAGCCATTTAAGCAATGTATTGAACCAAATCTGGCATAAACAAATTGCCAACCGTTGACCTTAAATTGCCCAATATGTATTCTTATCCCATTCCGCGCTTTAAAAGTCAAAACTTGCGTAATCCATATACAACCTCGCCTCTTCCGAGAAATCCATATGCTCCTGCGGAGATTTCAACTCCGGCGGCGAGATGATATTCTTCAACTCTCTCAGCGACTCGATATCCTCCAGCATTCCTCTATCCAATTTATCCCATATAATGCCATAACCCGGTTTTGCCGCTCCAGCAACGGTAATGACTCTTTTATTCGTAATCACATAATCGCATCCCGTATCCCACTGATCGCCTTTGAATTCTTCCTCCAGTACTTGACATTCATGAACCAACGCTATTATTTTCGTATCCTTATTCACAGCCCCTATCGAATATAACATTCCCCATTCTAAGTCGAAAAATCCATGACCCTTTCCAAATCGAAGACCCTTGTAATTTATGGCGCCGGTTCCAGTCACCATCAATGGTATTCTTAATCCTTCGCTTCGTATCGCAGTCAATGTGATGTGTCTCCCATATCTTTCCATTCCATCCAGATAGCTCGCAACCTCCCACTTGCGTTCCGGAATTTCCTTAGGATTTAACAGGAAAAACCCCCTTCTAATCCCATATGTTGTACAAATGACAATTTTCCCATCTTTCAGAGCCTGACATCGTAGTTCCTGCAAACAATTGTCGGGAGCGATGAATATTGTCTCGGCAGACATATAACAATCTAAATTAATTAAGTGACGACCTGCATCATTGGAACCCACGAAATCGCATATGAATGAAGAGTAGTCGTGGTCGAATCTTGAGTCTGGGATAGCGACATGGCGCAATTCTTCCCAAACCTTCTCACGAATTTGAGATTTGTGCGTGGAGGCTGGTGGCGTTGAGCCTGTTTGGAGAGGAGGAGGTCGCTGGGGTGCGGATATAGTCATGATAGTCGAGTGAGTGTGATGTTGTTTGAGATTACGATTATTCTGCCGATGAAGGGTTTGATTTTGGAAGCGGTAAAAACTCAAAGTGACTAAGCTGGCTTCCAGATGTTGATAGGAATTGTAGAAATGATATCTGAATAATCGTTCATCCAAGTCTTTATTTAACAAATATGGTGTTTATATTTGGGGGGAGGAGAAGAATTATAAAAGACCGAAACAAGATGTCTGGGCGTGAAACTCGAATATAAAAATGTTTCACACATGTGAATGCAGATCCGGGGAACGAACATGACACGGAAGGTTGAAAGGTACGTGTCTCAAGCGTTTCTGCTCGTATTATAATCCCGAAACTTAGAGCATTTAGGGGCAGAGGTTCCTGTTATTTTGCGTATGTTTGATGCAAAAGGAACATATTGTTTACTCTTTACGAAGACTGGTTCGAACAGTAAAGTGAAATCTTTCACCAAGTCATTCTGGCCCTTCTGTTTAATATAAAGTCCGTTACGAGGTTCCTGGTACGTCCTTCATTCACGCAATTATGGTGCCACACAGAGGATGCAAAGGCTGTATACATGCAGTGCAGGGTCGCCAGGCATTGAAATGGAGAGTCTTGCACGCCACCACGAGTTGACAAAATGTTGATATAATATCAACGAGCATTATGACAGCAAGAGCAAGTCTGGTTGGGTACATAGAAACTTGGGATGTGAACCCAGTGCCCAATGGTTGCGAGGACCTGGAGGAAATGCCTAACAAATTTGCAGTGCACATTCCGAATTGGCCCAATTCTGTCTGTCGCTTGCATTTCCCAATACACAAACTTCTTTGCGAAATCTTCGACGAAACACGCCACTGCTGCACGCGATTGAAACTCAAGGTGGTGGTATAAATTAGGAGATGGTCATTATCGTGATTCGATTCCTTTTGTAAGTCAATTACTCCACCCATGTGCTGTTGTACATTTATTATATTTCCTCATATCATCATGGCCTTTGCCCTGGACCTGGAGGTCCTATTTGGCCTGGCATCTCCTGCGCTCCTTCGGCTTTAAGTCTTTGTAAAGTTTGGTCGCGCTGGTATTCCATAACTCTTCGTTTTTTGAAGTATTGAACCTACACCACAACCAAGTCAGCTCAGATATCCCCTCGTCTACATTCTTTCCTAGGCACTCCGGCCTGTACTCAGCTCCCAATGAAGAAAACTTACCCAACTCGTAGCACAGTTACTTTCAAATCCTTTGCTCTCTGCTGCACATGCTTTCTCCGCCTTGTCCTTCTCCGTAATACTATCAATGATTTCTGCTTTATCCAAACATTTAAAATAAGCATCCCTAGCTTCCCAGCACCGAGATCTTTGTGTGCGGTCCGGAGCTATAGGTGCACCATCCGCGCCAATTTTGGGGGGTGGTAAGGAAGCTGGGGTCGAGGATGAGAAAAGGCCCATAGCGTGCTAATCTTAGATTTAGACGGGGGTGGGAGATTGGAATTTTCAACTGCTTGAAGGTATTTATTAGTTTTTAAAAATACAATTGCTACGGAAGAGCTTTGACTTACAAACTATTGTCGATGGTTCGTGATAAATTGAGAGGTTTGAAAGAAGTTAGCGATCAGCCACAGCTACCGCCACAGAACTTTCATCACCCGCACCCCGGCCTGCATCGAACCTTCCCGAGGTCTGCAGCTGAATGCGCGCTTAAACTTCGGGGAATAGAACACACCCACCAAGACGGCATCTCTTGACCTTATAGAGCACGCCGTCTCATTTTCTTAAACTTTATTTCACCAACCCAGCTCCCTAGGCGAAGAATTGATTGTGCTTTGACATTTGTTGTTGAAGATCTTCAAATCCTGTGTGATCCTTTCGATTGCTCGATTCTACTCCCTCATGAGTGGCGAGTCCCTATATGTGTTTATGTGTTGTGAGCCAGAGACTAGTTGGCCTTACCCATGGCCTTACTCATACCGAGTCATACATCAATACGTTTCTGACTAGATGTTAAATATAAGACGTGGAACCAATATCCATCCATACCAGCCAGATCAAGCTAGTGGATCCCCTCGATCCCCCAGTCTCACGAGGTTTTGAGCGTTTAAATACCTCGAAATGGAGAGACCAGAGTACTGGTAGCCAATAAACAGTCTTCATAGATCAAGTATTGATACTATAATAGTTTATAGTGCCCCAAATCTTCAAGGCCTTATGAATGCTAGTATACTTTCGATAGGGACAATTCATTGGCAATTTTTTCTTATTTCAAGACTAGTTGTACTATGTCCAGAACTCAATTCGAGTATCTTAGTTGTTAGTTGATCAACGATAATTCCAGAAGAAAGTTGCGAGAGTGGCGTTCTTATATGACGTGGAAAGCCCAGAAGTAAAGCATTTATTTTTGTTTTTCAAGTCTGTTTGTTCTCGAATTTGTTTTCTGGTCCATTGATCGAATTTCATTAACAGTACAAGGGAAAAGTTCACCTTAAAAGGTCCAAATAAAATGGAATAGCAAGTTTGAAGTGACGCAAGATCTTGAGAAGACGTAAGAGGCGTGCCCCACGCCATCAACCCCAGTGAACCGGGAGTCCATGCGTGAGTTTTCTTTCGATCCATGCCAAATACAATCGCGTACTTGACCTTGACTTCTCATCTTTTACAACTTGCACCTTTCTTGATACCAGAAATGATATGCTGAAGAATTCATCTCAATAGGAAGCAGGGACACTTAAACACTTGACCTCGAGGCTATTCCAACACTGCCGGCGACTTCAACGTGGGACGTGATGAATGGTAGAAACCGCGCCAATGGATCTCGGTCGCTGGATCTGAGCCCGAATAAAACGGACCTTCCATTATCTATATTGCAACATTTGCCTACGCCTGTGCTAGTCCTGGATCAGTATCGGAAAGCGCTGTGGACAAACTGGAAAGCAGAAGCTTTATTGGGCAGTACAGATTCTCTTGAGAATGATGAGAGCGCATTGATCGGAAAGGACTTGGATGAATTGGGAGTCACATTACTAGATAATCGATCATGGTCACCGGTTCTAAGTGAGGTAGAGTATCTTCGACGTGGCGGTACCTCATCAAATGATGAAGATTCGAGCTTTTTTGATGGGTTCCAGGTGGTGGTGAGCAATTCATCTAGGCCAGATGATCAGAAGGAAAGAAGATTTCGGGCTTGTATTGATGCTTTGAATGAGGATCGGGGCCTTCATTTCATTATCACCTTTGAATCACCGACATCTTTGCAAGGGAATTCGATCTACTCCGGGCTCGGCTCAACATCATCGCCAATTAAAGTAAAAGAGCCTCAACATAAACCAGCCTTCATAAGGGATGATGTTTTTTGTTCTCTTCGAAATGCAATCTTTGACAATGTTGATACTCCCGCATTCATGATAACTGCAGATGGTGAATATTACCTATCGAACCGCAAAGTTCGAGATGTCTTAGGACAGTCTATGGGGGGAGAGAATGGCTGCGGAGGGGATATTTTTCGAGACGCTCTACAGGTATGGGATGAGGGATACACTCGTCAGTTACCACCCGATGAATATTTCGGAACAGTCTTGGCAAGAACTCGACAACCGTTCGCGGATCAAAGATCTGGATTTATAAACCCTATAAATGGAGATCGATTGACAGCTTTAATTTCTGGAGAATGCCTTTATGACGAAGCTGGGATCTACTTGGGAGCGATTTGCTGGTGCGAAGATATACAGGAATACGAACAATACCTTATTGAGAAACAACACAAGCTACTACGAAGCCATGAAACTATCTGCGATTTGATGCCACATCTAGTGTGGACTACAAGACCGGATGGATATTGCGATTGGTACTCTAGGCGGGTAAGGATGTATTCTAGTGTCTGCTCACAATTCATACGAAGCTAACTTATGTCATAGTGGTACGAATACACTGGCATGTCTAAGGAGGAAAGCGTTGGCGCCGGGTATGAGAAAGTGATTCATCCAGACGATTTGAGTACCCTTAGAGAAGCTTGGGCTTATGGACTGGCAAATCGCCAAGATGGCGAGGTTGAGGTACGATATCGAAGGCATGATGGGGTATACAGATGGATGCACACGAGAGCTTGCCCATTACTCGACGAGAAAGGAGAAGTTCTGAAGTGGTATGGAACAAATACAGATATCACGGATATTGTGATGTCACGAATTGAGGCCAAGAGAAACAAGCATCAAATGTTGACAGTTCTGGCTCATGCCGAAGTCAATATGTTCTGTGTGGATAAAAATCGACTGGTAACAATGGCGGAAGGAGCCATGCTGTGGGGTGCCAAAACTGAACAAACGTGTCAAAGTAAGGAAAATTTGATTGGGAAGAATATCATTGAGCATATGCAAAGTACGCAGCCAGGGGGGATACCGGGTTCGTTTATCTCATCTATTCCTCTGTGACAATAACCCCACGTCACTAACGTGCTCCAAATTTCTAGGCCATGAAAATTCTGTCCTTGAAATATTGTCTGGAAAGGTCGAAATGGCAACATGCGAAGAAAAGATAGGAGACAAAAGTTACCGAACACGATTGGTGGCAGATCTCGAGCACAGCAGTGATGATGGAGGACAAGCACCAAAGGTCATCGGATGCTTGGGCTTGAGCATTGACATTACGGACGTGGAAAAGCGGGCGCAATTAGAGATGGATAATACGAGGTTGATGATTGAAGAACAAGCAGCTAAAGATTCATCTCAGATGAAAAGTCAATTCCTAGCGAATGTGAGTTATTGGTGCCTCGTGAAGACTTCCAGAACGCTAACAGGATTTGTAAAGATGTCACATGAGATGCGGACTCCGACGGCGGTGAGTCTTTCCCCTCATATTTTTTGCCCAAGTTGAAAGATCACTGTGATAACGTGTTGGCATTAGGGCGTGATTGGTATGGTGGACTTACTTGACGAAGACCCAACCTTGACGTCTTCGCAACGCGAATATGTTTCTAGCATCCAACTTTCAGCAAGAGCACTCCTAACCATTGTGAATGACATCCTCGACTTTTCGAAAATCGAATCAGGTCGTCTCGATATCGAAGAAGTTCCATTCAATCTTTGTTCCACCGTGGGAGAGCTATGTAAATTGTTATGCGTTTTCGCTAACCAGAAGAATTTGGTATTCAATTACGAAAATGAGGTTGACGAAAGCCTCGAAGTCCTGGGAGACCCCGGGCGGATCAGACAAGTCCTATCTAACCTTCTAACAAATTCGCTTAAATTCACGGAAAATGGATCTATAACAATAAGCGCGAAAGGAAAGAGAATAACGGATTCAGGCAACATTGGAAATGATACAATTGAGGTCAGCTTCATGATCAAGGATACGGGAATTGGAATATCTAAAACGACCTTGGATAAGTTATTCAGACCCTTCAGCCAGGGGGATTCTTCAACAGCGAGATTATATGGTGGAACAGGTCTGGGTCTGACCATATCTAGGAATGTGAGTATCTTCTTCCATTCTTCCAATGCCTTTCCACCAGAGAACTTCACTGTATTCATTAAAATTCCTGCTTCGAGATACTGATTCTGAGACTAGCTTGCAACTTTGATGTCTGGAACGATTTCTCTTGATTCAGAAGAAGGAGTTGGGAGCACGGCCACATTCACAATACCATTGAAGGTATCCTCGTATTGCCGTTACCCCCGACGTTCCAACACTCCGGCTAAGCTTGAACTTTCTTTTACCAACAATAATTCTGATTCACAATCTATGCCGAGTACGCCACTGGCTCTTCGACCAAGCTCTCACGGAGGACAGGTAAAACAACAATTTATAAATCAACAAATCTCGACCAGTGAGACCAATCATGTCCTCCCTCCATATCTACGAAATGGAGACAAGAACAAAGATGATGGGCCAAAACTTCCACTGGCAGAACGGGGCGAGATCCTTGTTCTGGTTGTCGAAGACAAGTAAGTTGCACAGATTTGTTACAAGCACGCCCTTTTATTTCTTGCTTACCAAGTACAGTGCCATCAATCAAACCATCGCATTGAAAACTGTCCGAAATTTAGGATTTCAAGCAACAGCCGTTTGGAACGGACGCGAAGCATTGAATTACTTGAGTAATCCTGGGTCATCCAATCCGAGACCAGATATCATCTTGATGGATGTCCAGATGCCAATCATGGATGGTTATGAAGCAACGAAAATTCTAAGGACGAATAAAGAATATGAAAGGTATCTAGAACATGATATACGGCCGTTAAAACCCGCAAAAGATGTGGCCACTGCGAGAAACTCAAATCTGAATGAATCAGAAATGGGGAGTCCGACTGGCAGGATGCAAACCAAAACGAAAAGTAGACTGAAAGATCTTCCTGTAATAGCTATGACGGCTAGTGCGATCCAAGGAGATCAAGAAAAGTGCCTCGAGGCGGGAATGGATGGATACTTGAGTAAACCAGTTGAGAAGGAAAGGTTGGAGGAAACGCTGATATACTGGGCACAAAAGACAATGGATGTCCGAGAACTTGCAAGTCTGGGGGTCTCGAGTTCTGATGGCAAACATAGTAAAAATGATTCTGCCGATTCTGCCGTTGTCATGATGGACGAGGATTCTACTTTGTCACAGGATGGGGGATCGAGAGACGGCGATCTAGATGGTGGGGATGGGAGTTCAGAAACAGCTGGTCCACACTGACCATGTTGTGGGCTCATTGTTGCATGTGGACACCGATTTTGTTAGGATTGAGTCTGTTGTAGTGGGGGTAGCTGTGAGAGACTGGTCTTGGTTCTGTGAATGGCGCAGATATTTGTCGGTTGAAATGGATATTCACGGTTCTTTGGGTGGTCTAAATGGCGTATTCTGATAGTGGTATTGGGCGATTCCTTGGACAATGGACAAGGGACTTGGGATTGAGACTGGATTGGATTGATGATGCGAAATGATTGTATTATACCTTGGCACTGATTGATAAAATATTTTCTAGAGACTACCTGCCTGATCGAGAATATATATAGATAACGGATAAAGGGGGGTTAGAGTTGTTAAACGAATATTTTGAATTTTGTGGGAATTAGTTTCTGACGTGCCGAGTCCAAGACTTAGATGCAAGAGACTACCTACCTAATCCGGAATGTTGTAGAGAAACCCCGCAGATGCAGGTGCTCCGGCAGAGATCTTGGCGTACTTGAACGGTTAAAGGGGTAAGATTTTTAGACGAACATCATGAATTGCGATTGCAACTGGTACCTGGCGTGCCTGGCGTGCCTGAGTCCTTATCTAGTGTGTCAGACATGCATTGACTCAAGACATATAAATTAACTTCCAAGATCTACTGATAGCACGTGTGCCGAGTCATGACTTTATCCATCCTCGGCGCGAAGACGAGCGATCAATAAGGTAGAACCAAAACGGGGGCAAGGTCACCAGGTCTGGAGCACAAGAATCGAGGGTGACAGGGGCAAGGGGTTACTGAATCACCGCAAAATTCACCGCCCAAAACTCGGCCAATCAATTTGCTTGCCGATATCGTCGTGCATACGCTATCTGAGCTGAGTAGCTTTAAGCTTCAGTCTTAAAGCTTCAGTCATTCCCAACCTCTCTATCTCTCATCCTTCAAAACAACAAACATCATTAAATCAATTCAATAACAAATTCGTGGTAAACCTCCACGATTCCCTTCATTATGTTACGTTCTACTCTATTTCTTGCAGCTGCATCTCTAGCTACAGGTGCAGTTATGCAACAACCCATTGCGGAACCAAGCTCTCAATCTCTCATCAATGAAAAACACAAACCATTGATCAAATCTACTTCCCTCCAAAACGATATAAAGACAAAAAACCTTCTCAAGCGGGCGAATCAGCTTTACAAAATTGCAGAGGGAAGTATCCCTGAGTATAATCACCCGACGAGAGTTATCGGATCGAAAGGTATATCTCCATTCCTTCTTCTCCTCAGCTTCTTAAGACATTTTCTGACTCACTCTGTGTAACAGGCCACGAATCAACTGTTGATTACATCTACTCTTCTATCGCGTCTCTCGGCGACTACTATCACATCTCCAACCAATCATTCCCTGCAGTAGTGGGCAACATCTTCGACTATCGACTCGTACTGGGCGATGTCGTTCCAAAGACTGCTACCCCCATGAGTCTCACACCTCCGACAGCCAACAAAGATGCGGTTTTCGGCCCACTAGTATTGGTTAGCAACAATGGTTGTGATGCATCCGACTATCCCGCAGAGGTGGCGGGCTCTATCGCTTTGATCCTCCGTGGAACTTGTTCATTTGGAGACAAATCTGCGAATGCCGGTAAAGCAGGTGCCATCGCCGCAGTTGTCTACAATAATGCCAACGGATCTCTTAGTGGAACGCTGGGAGCACCAAATGCAGATCATATCGCCACTTTCGGTATATCAGACGAAGAAGCGGCTCCATATGTCGAGAAATTGAAGAATGGGGAATCTATCGATGGATCTGCATTTGTTGATGCTTTGGTTGAAGAAATCACCACCACAAATATCATTGCTCAGACCAAAGGAGGTGATGCAAATAACTGTGTAATGTTGGGAGGACATTCGGACAGTGTTGAAGCAGGACCGGGTATCAATGACGATGGAACCGGTTCCATATCCCTGCTTGAGGTTGCTACCCAGTTGACCAAGTATAAAGTCAATAATTGTGTTCGATTTGGCTGGTGGGCAGGTGAGGAGGAGGGACTTCTCGGTTCAGACTACTACGTTTCCCAACTTTCCGACGAGGAGAACTTAAAAATCCGCCTTTTCATGGACTACGACATGATGGCTTCTCCAAACTATGCTTATCAGGTGTACAACGCCACTGATGCCGCCAATCCTGATGGATCCGAAGCATTGAGAAACTTGTATACAAAATGGTACAAATCTCATCACCTCAACTACACATACATTCCATTCGATGGTCGAAGTGACTATGATGCTTTTATCAAGAACGGCATTCCAGGTGGTGGAATCGCAACTGGTGCTGAAGGTGTTAAGACTGCCGCTGAAGTTGAAATGTTTGGTGGTAAGGCTGGAGATTGGTATGATCCTTGTTACCATCAGCTTTGTGATGATCTTTCAAACCTTGCTCTTGATGCTTGGTTGATCAACACCCAACTCATCGCTCATTCGGTTGCTACTTATGCGGCTTCCTTTGAGGGATTCCCAAAGAGAACCCTGGAAAGCGTCGGCGCTTCTGCTGCAAAGAAAGTGAAGGAAGAGACCAAATATCATGGTCCTCAGTTGGTCATGTAATTTTTGGTAACATCTATAAAGGATATACAAGGGAATTGAATGCGTGAAGATAGTTGTAAATTTAGTATGCCTCACATCTTTTACAGGCACACGTCGAATTTAATTTTTTAGCTTTGATATATCTATGCATGCAAGCGATACCCTTTTTTTTTTTTTTTTTTTTTTTTGAGAAGTAAGCGAATTATAATAATAACTGTCATGTCACATGCTTGATTTACTTACAGGCAGACGCTAGTGAATCGATACAGGAGGCTGTGCAGTATTGCGGCTCCCTAATCAGTCACACATACCTCAGATAGATTTTCAATTTTGTGATTTGATATCGTCGCAGTTCAATCATGGACCATTGAAGAGGCTGGATACAAGGGAATATAAAGCTTGCCGTTACACGAATAGCTTCGACCGCAGACGACTTGTTCAGCCGTCGACCTTATTTCTCGCGCTGCTGTTTCAGCCTACCTTAACTTATTGAATATTTCCCCAACGTATCTCATTTCTTTTCCATAACACTTCTTACATAAGCGTGTACATTCAGCCTCAGATGCTCTGCATTCGACAAGTATTAGGAGGCTTTTTGCTAAGCCACTGCTGGGATAAAGCATGGTTTATATCAAATAGCCCCAACAGCTAGGGTCGCTACATGGGTCGACTACTTTCTGGTCATCTATAATCCAATGGATATTTCCATGCGTATCATGAGGTAGGCTTGCAGTCACATTTACTGGTACACGTGTGCAATGCTCTTCATAAGCATTATACCTAACTGATATCTATCTCTGTTACATCTTTTAGCCATTTGTTTCGAGATGATGAAGTCATATCCAGTCGTGGCTGAAGTTGCTTGTGAAATGGACAAGGTTATGTGTAAGGCTCTGATATCCTAAGGATATATATGTCTGCTTTTCTGCTTCATTGAGTTCTTGTTGCCATTGCATATTTCTTCTTCTTCTTCTTCTTCTATAAACTTCAAACAACAAAAGATTGCTAGCATCAGAAAACTGCGAACTCAGATACCATCAAATCCTCTTGCTATCACGTTTTTGATAACATATCCAGCATGCCAGGCCATCATTCACATCATCATCATACCCCTCACCGCGGATCTGAACCCAAACATCGATCCCCTCCAAGACAGCCCGTGTCTTCACGCCCACAAGCGGAAGTCCGTTGTCTAACTATCCGCTACGCATCTTTGGATCACAGGAGCTATCATAAAGATTATAATCTACCTTATGTTCGCCGCTTTCGTCACTCGAATCGAGGCATGGTGACAGATCTTCCGACTGGCGGGGTAGTCGGTAGGAACAATTTGCAAAGCTTGGTGCAGGATAAATTGACGACGTTAATGAATAGAGACTTTGCTAATTGGTGAGTGATTTTTCCGCTGCTGGTATCTGTTGATGTGGTTTGAATGAATGGAGTTGGAAGTGAGAGATGAAGATGTGGATAGTTATACTATGGTAGGCTGGATTTTTGTTAATCTTATTTTCTCTGCAGGAAGTTCATCGGTGCTGAGAGATCACTGCCCGGCCCGCCGAGTAATAATACACCATGGGGATACAGTGAGAGAAGAGTAAATGTTTATATTGAGAAGCGACAGTGAGGAGAACGGAGAAGTACCTTGAGAGGCTTTCTACTTGTATGGTTTTGCGAGATGAAGAATTCTTGTGGTGGGTTAATATTGATCTGAAGGCTCAGAAATGAAGGGAAACTTAGATGAATGGTTTATGATTTCATTTCTTATTGGTTTGTGATGTTGATGTTTGTTATCAGCTCGGTACGGGATTTGTTCTTGAGGAATTTTGTGTGAATCGAAGGGTCTGAGCCTGCGGTTGTGGTGTATATCTTATGCCTTGTGTTCTCTTCTATCATTAGTTCTTAATTGATTCTAGCCATTCAATTTTGTTGATGAGTTAGCATTGTAAGCAGGCAGAGATGATGAAGCTTTTAGATTGTAATCTCCATTCTACGCTTTGCCTCTATTGGCTGCAGTAGCTAATAATACTCATCATTTCTATGAGAGTTGACTTCCAGAATCTTCAAGTAGGATGCAATATATTCCCCGAATTTCAATTGGCTTAAGTCTGATAGTACCTCGTTCCTGGTCATCGAAAACGGCCATGTGATGCATTTCACGCGGATAAATATTTCGGCTACAAGAACCGGGGATAAATTGCGGGGTACTTTAGTGCCGGAAATTCTGATGGCTAATATGGTGCATAATCTGGATGTCCGATAAGATGTCTACATCTCTTCTCATAGGGATCATACCTAGAAATGGGATAAGGGTTTATTCACCGTGGTTACGACCTATGAGCTGTCAAGTGGCAAGCGGAATTAGCCTATGTTTTGTCGTCATACCAAGCCAAGGCATATATAAATGCAGCGTATCCCCCAGTTTGGCAACTTCTCTGTATATGCATTGATTTCTTTTGCCAACTCAATTCGCCATGGTGTTTTTCAACCTGTTGCGGAGAGGCCTAGTTGCCTTTGCTGCTGCTACCTATATGATCCCTACAGCTTCAGGTGCCGCCAATAATTTAACCGTTGTCTCCAATTTTGGCCACAATCCTTCAAACGTTACAATGTATCTATATGTTCCAAGCAAACTCGCTCCTAACCCCCCAATATTCGTCAATCCACATTGGTGCCATGGAACAGCACAAGATGCGTTTGTCGGCACACAATTCGCAACGCTAGCCGACGCTTACGGCTACATTATGATTTTTCCCAACTCTCCAAATGCTGCAGATCAATGCTGGGATGTCTCTTCCAAAGCGTCACTTACTCACAATGGCGGAGGAGATTCCTTGGCCATTGTGAATATGGTCAAATATGTACTCAAGACCTACAAAGCCGATCCCAATCGCGTCTTTTCGATGGGCACGTCGTCCGGAGCAATGATGACGAATGTACTAGTGGGTGTCTACCCTGACATCTTCGCTGCGGGCTCTGCATGGGCGGGTGTAGCATTAGGATGTTTTGCCGCAAACAGCAGTGCCGTCGATCTTTGGTCCAACGACTGCGCTACGGGCCAAATCATCAAGACAGGCTCTCAATGGAAAAGTATCGTTCAGGCTGCGTATCCGGGCTACAAGGGATTCAGACCAAAGATGTGGGTACTACATGGTACAGACGATACGGTACTCTATCCACAAAATCTCCAGGAGGAAATCAAGGAGTGGACGACGGTATTAGGTCAATCGAAGACTCCTCTCACGACGAAAGCGAATTGGCCGGATGCGAATTGGACGACGTGGGATTATGGGTCGAAATTCAGAGCGACGAGTGCGGAGGGGGTGACGCATAATATTCCGACGAATGAGAGTGTGGTGATTGATTATTTTGATCTGAAATGTCGGGGTCCTTCATGTTACTCGAGAGTTACGGCGGGGACTAAGGTGGGATTTTCTGGGTAGTGTGTTGGGCCGGGCAGGGGTATCGTAGATCTACGCAGTGTGTAGAGGGAGCTTATTGTAGCGAGAACAGCTATTATCCACAGTGTTAGCCGATTCATGGGAAAGAGGTAAGATGAAAGGCAAGGAGACAGAGTTTTGAATTGTGTGGGGACCTACAGAGTGTGCCAAGGGGACTTGTTGTAGCGAGAATAAATTTCTTTGCCAGAGGATGAGGGGGCAAAATCCCGTTCGTGGCGTCTCCTCATACCATAGGCGTCAATATGGAAATCACTCCATGATACCTTTTACCCGTGAAAATTTCATTAGTATCGAATATCGTTTTTGTCTAGCTGCAGTGGTGAGCTCGTATCGACTACGCCTCCCTCACCTCCTGCATTGTTACCCTACACCACCACCCACTGAAACCATACCTAGCAATCCAGAATACATAGACCCAAATAGCACCGTGAATACAGCAGATTTGTGGAACAATCTTTCTCCATGAAACATCATATTCTACACTTACTTTTCTGCGATGGTGTGCAAATTCAACCCAATCCTAACTAACAACAGCATCCTAGCAAACGCTCATGCATATGGGGATCTCGATACAGTTTCCCGAATTAGAATGTCACATTTGATACTCATCTTAATAATGCAGATTCGCTGCGTGTGTGGCCAAGCAGTTTGTGATTTAAATCGCCAAACTAGAAATGCATGTTTATCACTTGAGTTGCTGTGTCCGAGAAAAATCGGTTCAGCTCATAGATATGAATTTATGTAGCACAAAATATGCTGATCACAAATGAAAGGTAATGCATTTTTAATGCGCCAAACAAAAGGAGTTAGGCCTTGTTCCAAAATAGATCTAACTTCGAGGCCTTGAAAATTCGCATGCGACGTACAGTAGAAACGTGGAAAAACTTTCTGCCTTGCCCTCGTTATTGTCACAAATTCTTTGACATGAGGTCGGCAAATCATGGGATGTGATATCTCCCTGCAATTTGGCGCTTGATATTTCAATGGGTGATGTACCTTGCTTGACTATCACGTTCCGCCGCAAATAAACGATACTGATATCAGTGAGAAGGAATTACTTATAAGGTGATTTCTGCAGACGATGCCTTCCCCAATCTCTGACATACTTTTGTACCCATCTCAAATTTACAAACTGATTTTCTTTGATCCGTAAAGCTGAGTTGTATCCACCGGATATCTCACAGGCATCTTTCCTCTACACTTTCAGCCCAAATCACGTATTGAACCAGAAGACTCAGGTGGTAAGCCCAACGGTTCTTTACATAGCCTCTTGAACTCTCATCATCCTTCCTGCCTCAAAAGTCAAAGTGCAATCAATAATGAGATCCTAACACAAGTCGCTCGTTCTTCGCATACCTCTTCCCAGATGGACAAATTTCAACCGACCAAAGCTCCCAAGATTCCATCATCTTTCCAAATATCCAGATGCAGGAGAACCTGCGAAATTCGTATTCGACAACAGGTGCAAATTCATCGCACTCGATTTGGTTCTCCTTACGTTGCCTCTGGCTACTACCGCGAGCTTGGTGTACCTTAACATGCAGTCTGTTTACTGGGGAGACACACAGGCCAATGGAACATGGCAAAATACCATGTTGAATAGCCTTCAATTTGCGGCCAAGCTTCATGAACTATGGATCGGTTCTTCTGTGGCTTACATGGTGTCCCATTTCATTGTACTCATGCTCGCTAAGGCCAAAGGTATACCTTTTGGGCTACTTGGTGCTGGTCTTCAGATTGGAGACCTTAGATTCTTTGCCCGCAGGTCATTTTGGTCATCCTTTGAGTGTTCCCACGGACGCAAATTGAGCATCTATCTCTTTGCACTGTTCGTGCTATTCTGTTCCATCCTCACAGCTCTTGCTGGACCATCCTCTGCTATTGCTATGCGACCCAACCTTGATTGGTGGCAAATGACCAATAACACGTTGGTATTTCGCTTCCCAACCAAATTCGAGTTATGGCCTATCAACCTTTTAGAACCACTGGCTCCACCGCTCTCGATGGTCAATTGTTCCAATTACGCAGACTCATCTGCCAATTTTATATGCCCGGCTAGTGGAGCTCAAGATATCAACACTTGGCTGAATAGTCAAGACCTCAACGTTCTAAGAGGAAAAGCAACGAACATGACTTTTTATAACGCATACACAAACACGCGCAATTTTCTTGCCTCGGCTGGAATGGGTTCAGGTCATTCTTACACAACCTCGTTATCAGTTGTCCCTCAGCTCGCTGTGGGCGCGATATGGAATGACCTAAAATTGGCGGTAGCCTACGAGTCTTTCATATCTCAACCTAAATTCTTGTCTCATTCCACAACGAACCTAAATCAACCGATTGTTCAGGTCAAATGCAATATCTATGCTCAGAGTAATCTTACAAGTGCTGGTAACGATACAAAAGATGCTCCAGTATTTCCTCTCTTACATGGAATCATGAAGAATACATGGACGTTAAATGAAAAGATAGGATATGCAGTGCCAAAAGACTCCTGGAGTGGTATTAGGAACCAGTAAGACTTAGATCTAACCTGGGTTGACCTATACAAAAACTATAGCGGAACCGCGTCTATCGGTGGAATCTTTTTGCTTCCGATGTCTAGACGTGTATACAACGGGACAGGCTGGTCTACCGTCCAGGATACATTAATCATACCGTGTACATTCGATGCAAGATGGTTGCAAACTCAAGTGAAATATGAGCCTACAACTAGCGATATCATCAACGATAATATCACTGACTCTACAGCCTTCTCAGAGCTACAAAGCCTTATAACAATGCACATCAAGATCGGACAAAGAGAAAGCGCTCAGAACTTAGCGACGTCATTAACATTACTCCTGGTTGGGCCGCATATACGAACATAGTGGTTCCAGGAGTTCACTTGACGCAGAAATTAACTCAAGATTTGACTGTAAGCCATATAAATGGGACAATGCCTCAAACAAACAGAGTCCAGGCTCCAATAATTAATTTTAGCGGTGGTATGCATGCCACACCTACTTTTCCCGCGCCCGCACCTGCGCAGAATCTACCTAATGCCACCCTAATTCAAGGTCTACTGAACAGATTCATGGTTCTCGGTGCAAATGGAACACTATCATTCAATCAATTTCCAGTTGGGGGACCTAGTCCACCCAGCAGTACTGCTGATATTCAAGGTTTCATCTCACTATATGCTGGTGTATTTATGACAGATGCTCTTGCGCGTTATGGCTCCCAAAGCGTCATATCTGATGATAATTTCTTGTTCGGCCATAATAACACTTTGAGGCGACTATCCTCCTTGAGGAATGAGCCCGAGCTTCCCAAGGGCTGGCTAGAGTGGAAATTTGAGATTTGGCGCAGAGGATATAGCTATGGAATTCGTGGAATAACGACGAAATTAGCATTAGCGCTTCTTCTAACGCATTGCATTTCAACGTTGGGGTTCATGGTCTACATGTGTTTTGCAGGGTGGAGAACGGTTGCTTGGAATTCGATAGGAGAATTTATTGCGCTGGCATTGAAATCACGCAGTACAGAAAAATTTCGAGGTACAGATGCGGGGATTGATTTATCAACAACATGGGCGCAAAATATGAGGATAAGGGAGATTGGTACTGAAGAGCTTGAAATACGATTTGGGGAAGATGGATGTGAGGAAGAGAAGGGAGAGTGGTTAGGTGTAGTGAGGATGGGTAGAAAATATGGTGGGGGAAAAGTCTGGAAGAGGGGCTGTGAATCCTCATCGTTTGAAGAAGAGTGAATAATTTACACAATTCTGAATTAGAGTAGTGCCGATAATGATGAAAATGGAACAATCACAACATGTTATGAATGTAGTGATTATGTACTGCCCACTACAAGCTTCATAGCAAGTGCGTTGAAATTATGCACAGGCAGTGAGAGAAATTGGCGCCAACCATGACGAAATAATGAAAATTGGGGGGCATTTTTCTAAAGGCTTGTTGTATATTTGACATGTGGATATGAGGGTTTGGTGGTTTGTGGCGGCGATTGATTGGAAGATAGTGTTTGGCATCTGTCTTCTCATTGTCAATGAGTAAGCTGTTGCCACTACCTTAAGAGACTGTATGAGTTGTCCGTACAAAGAGAGCATAGCTCGACCACAAGTTCAGGGACCACATATTGGGCAATATTTGTGTTGACAATCATAGCTATAGTCATGCCGTGGTGAGTGAGTGCTAGCAAATCGTCCATAGCTACGACTGCCGGGCATACGAAACTTGCTCTGAATATCGCGCGGATCATTCTAAGAAGCACAATCCTTTCCATGGAGATATTTCAGAGTGGCATATGTGTAAAACGACGGGCAGACAAAACTTATACGTCTAGCCCATTGTGTTTCACAGTGTGACTTATGTCCTCTGGGCTGGCTACTCGAGGTACATACGGAGATTCAGGAGTGACTAGCTCGCCGTTTCCTTGTAAGTTATCGTATGGAGCTGATCTTTTGTTGATCAACAAAAGCTTTTCCCCGCATTATAGAAGCAGGCCAAAATCATGCATAAAAGTCAAAAAGTTGTGTATCTCCCCATAGAGTATGATTTGGACGAACATTTGTAAAATCTGTTTGGGTACGAGAATGGCTCTCTTTGTGCCTTGATCCTAATTCTTTGTCAGGCTTGTATCGAATCGAACATTGAATCTCCACCCCCTTTTCTTTTAATTTTTCCAACAAGGAATCTTGCTCTCAATGTCGGTACGCAATACGCACCCGTTCAAGCCGAAATCACTAGTTCATATATAATCTAATCCCTGCAATGTTCTCGAATATTTGACAGCTCCACTTGGGCCGGGCCCAAACCAAGGACTGAGTTGCATTGATATATTTCGACCCAGATTTATCTGCAATTGATTTAGCTTCAATCTCAATGACATGCTGTGCATTTTCATGCAGCAACCGGCTCTTAAATCGGCGAGAGGGGTGATTGAGGGTCAGCCCTAGGATTCCCCAGCCTCAATGGTGAGCTGTTTATCCTAGATCTAAGGCTTTACTTCGTCCAACTCGCTATGCCAAAGGAAGAAGCCTGATACTCAGCCTTAAGTATCTCTTAAACACCGTTGAGTGTGAATGCATCGCAGGTTCGCATCGAGATGCTCGATTGTTTCCTGTCGGGTCAAATTTCCGAAACAACATGGGTAAATCCCCAAAGAGTGGAACATTGGATATATCTTGCCTGTGTCGATCAAAGCTTAGCATATTGTGCCACCGATATTTTTTTTTACCTAAACAATGAGATAATTGGAAGGGGGTATTTTCTTTCCCCCCCATTGATAGAAGCTGAGAAGGAAGAGAAGGTCGACCCGAAGCTCCGATTCTGATGCAACTGCGGGATGGCGTACGTCGGAACTGTCTTGCTGTAGAAAAGGTAAACGAGCTCAGCTGCCCAGTACCTACCTTCCTGTCGCTCAAATATTGAATGTTGCAAAAAGATGCAAGTTGTCAATTTATATCTTCCTATAAATAATAATTGTCTCAGAAGATTTAACCAATAACGAAAGGGCCGCGTGTATACAATGAATATATGCTTAAAGGCAAATTGAGAGGGAGATGAAGGTTCTTGGTAATCTTGGGATGAGATCCACATGTTGCCACGATTTGTCCACCAAAACGCTCAGCCATATCATCTCATTTACGCCTGTGTTGGTGAAATCTCCTTGGACCTTGGTTGATGTTGTTTTGGGTGTCTCGGGGGGAGGGGAAGGGGAAGAGGAAGAGGGAGAGGGAGGGAGAGAGAGAAGGGGTCTTTCAGTGAATCATATTATCAGGGGAAGGGAAAAAAAGGAAAAAAAGTAGAACAGGGGAATGAATGAATAAGTTCAAAAAAAAAAAAAGGTATGCCGTACGGAGTACTGATACTCTACATATTAACTACTTTCGCTTTGCTCGCGAGTCGCGATTTGGTAAACATACTCCTTTCTTTCTTTCTTTTTACTTGTTGTTGTATAATAAAAATTCTTGATAATCCAACCTTGAAAATCTTGAAAATCTTGAAAATCTCAAACACTCTTTCTTGAATCGTATCGTGGTCGAAAGCAGGAGGGGAATATCACAATATCCAAAAAGTAAAGGCTTAAAAACATTCTGTTCTGCGAGCACCACACATATACATCCTCAACTCACCCAGCATTTATACACCAATAATTCTTCAAGATTCCAAAATATATCAAAGTTTCTGCATTTCTGCATCATTCCAAGGAAAATCATCCCGCCACAAGCCTGCAGGATATCCAACCCTCGGAAACCTGTCATCTCAAGACCACCATGTCATATTACAACGGCGCTTACGATGATGGCAATGACGAGACACATGGGGAATACCAACCTGCTCGAGCCGGCTGGAAACAATCTTCACCAACTGGACAAGGTACGTTCTAATTATTTTATATTGCAATCTATTCCAACATCAATATCAATGTCGATATCGGATAAAGAATACGAAGAGGGTTTACGTTTACGGTATTCCAACCAAACGTCATCAAATTCGGGAGGAGTTAAATAAAGAAAAAAGTATAATCGATTATTACCAGATGTGCCCTTGTAGAGCTCATCCGGGATGGGGGCGCATGGCATATTCGCAAGCTTGCGTTCCGCTGATGTCCGGCTGTGACACTACGTACATAGTAATCCTACATCGCAGCCCAGCTAGCACTCACAGCTTTCTTATTTGTGTTTCTGTTTCTGTTTCTATCTCTTTGCGATTCACTCATAAGATTCACAATATCTGCCACGACTAGACTGTCGCAAATTTTGGGCCATTTTCATAAACATTTTGGAATCTAGCTAATAATCCTATTTCGATTTTAGACGCATACCAGCCTCCTCCTCGCGGTGCCAGTCTCAATAATTCTACAACTCCAAATTCCAATAACAATATGAACGGTTATGGTGGGGGGTATCAACAGAATCCCAATCTGGGGGCGACCTTCTATCCAGGAGGCGGGGACGACTTCTACATGCCTACTACTAACGTAGTGTCTCCAATGCCACAAAGGTACGGTTTTATTTTTCATCGTTCCATTTAAGAAAGGAAAATAGTTTATGGCCATGGTGTGCCATTCTGCCACTTTCCTCCAACAAACAATGATGTGGGATGAACGCCCATTAATGAGAAGTATAGAATCATGCCAGAGGTTCCACATAATATGCAAGATAATCTTGCAAATCTGGAGTTGAATTCAGATGGACGAGTAAGCTCACATTCAAGTGTTTCTAGTCAATCAATGTATAATGACAATTCACAGTACACCAGTGAATCGCCGAGGTCGAATTATAGCAATCGAAATAGTGGCCCGGGCTACACAGCGAACTACGAACATACAAATGCCGCTATATACCAGAATTTGAAGGGGCCTTACGGTGCGCCACGAGTCCAGCCTGACTCCCCTAGGTTTTCACCATTTCCAAAACCTCGAAACGCAGGTCAGAATGTACCTTTGTCGGATGAAGATAAAGAAGAAGTTCTGGAGAGAGCTAGGCCCATGGTTTTGAAGTCTAGCGACCCGGAGATGCAGTTGGCATGGGCTCAGGATGCGTTGTCTTGGGTAGAGGTAGCCAGTTCTACTTATGAGCGAAAGAACGACGACTCGCGAGCCCCAACGCCCAAGATTGAACATCAATTACGAGTTGATGCTATAAGCATTGTCAACTTTCTCGCAGAACAGCAACATCCAAAGGCAGAATTTATGAAGGCGATGTGGTTAGAGTTTGGTAAATTTGGGTATCGAATGGACAAAAAGGAATCATTCCAGGGCTACCAGCGAGCTGCACAAAAAGGATATGCTCGAGCAGAATACCGAATCGGAATGCAGTTCGAGAATACCATGAATCCTACCAAGGCCGTTGAACACTATCAAAGAGGTGTATACTTGAAGGATTCCGCGGCAAACTATAGGCTAGGAATGGCTACCTTACTCGGTCAATGTGGCATGCAACAAGACTTTGCAAGAGGTATAGATCTGATACAATTTGCAGCCGATACGGCGGACGAGAATGCCCCTCAAGGTGCCTACGTTTATGGAATGTTACTCGCTAGAGAGTTACCAAACATTACCATGCCTGATGAATATTTACCGTATGATTTGAACGAAGCCAAAATGTTCGTAGAAAAGGCCGCTTATCTCGGATTTGCCAAAGCACAACTCAAGATGGCTCAAGCTTACGAACTTTGTCTGTTTGGCTGCGAATTCGACCCTGCACTTTCTTTACATTATAACGCCCTTGCTGCCAGACAAGGAGAGCCCGAAGCTGATATGGCCATCAGTAAATGGTTCCTTTGTGGTTATGAGGGTATTTTCGAGAAGAATGAAGAGTTGGCTTATACATATGCGCAACGTGCGGCTGAGACAGAAATGGCTACAGCTGAGTTCGCTATGGGTTACTTCTATGAAATTGGAATGTATGTCAAGAAAAATCTTGAAATAGCTTCACAATGGTATGACAAGGCTGCCAAGCACGGCAACCAAGATGCTCTTGGAAGAATCGATAGCATCAGAGCGAACCACTCGCTTTCCAAGGGTGACCATGGAGCGGCGATTCAACGTATCAAGTCAACGCACGGCTCTCGAAGAGGAGCCAGGCCGGAGAGATTCACGCAAGCTAATGCTCCACCAATGCCAACCATGGCAGAAGATTACTCCTCACCAACTCCTCCCGTGCACAGTCAAAAACCTAAGGTTAAAAAGGGTGCACCTGCGGGTATTCGTCCAATATCCATTGCACCATATCCAGAGGATGACTACAGTCCTGGTAATCGTGGTAATGGCAACCCTCCCAGATCTCCGAGATATCCTCCACAAGATGGATTGCGACCATCAACCTCGAGTTCGAACCCAGCATCAGATCGACCATCTTCTGCTTTTGGTATTCGCTCTCAGCAACAACCACCTCATTTGGGAATTACCCATCAAAACACAGAGCCTATACGATCATCATCTCCTATGGGCCAAATGCCTTCACAGGGTCGCAATCCATCACCCAATCACGCTCCAAATATTCCTCCAATGAGCTTCGAATCTGGTTATCAGAACCCACAGCAAAGACCTCCAACTTCTGGATCAAGGCCTGGAACTGCACAATCTGTTCAGTCGTTTCAGTCTCAACAATCTGCATATGGTTCCAGACCAGGACCTGGCCAGAACGTCTTACCACCACGAGGCGCTTCCATGACACCAGTTTCGGCTGCTTCCTCTACAACAAGCAGAAAACCAATTGGTAACCCAATGTCTCCGCAAGACTCGAGACAATCCTCTGTTTCGTCAGCTCCTACTACTCCTGCTCCTACTCCGGTTGCAGCTCCACCAAAACCATCTGCTCCTGCTAAGAAGGGACCTGCCACTTTTGAGGAAATGGGTATTCCACAAACCAAGAGTGAAGGAGACTGTGTAAGTTTAAAAATCACTATAGCTTTGTTTGGCATGGTCACTAATAATCTTGCAGGTCGTTATGTAACTGCGCTTTATAGTTCTAGGGGATTGAAATTTGCGAGGAATTTATATAACATAATCATTTGCGAAACAGCATTGTGAATAATTTTTTTTGATTACCTAGAGCATGAGTCTTTGCGCATATATAAATTGGGTGCGTGCATAGCATATACTTGAGTAATATGCATTTCGTTCGATTTGGAGATAGTTTGGACCTTGCAATGTGTAATAGATTTAGGTTTCTATGGTAAGTAAAGATGGAAGATTTTTGATGGGTGTTATTTGGGTGGCTGGAAAAGGGGATTAAAGATAGGATTTGAACTAGGAAGAGACGCATTTCTTAGTAGAAATAATATGATACCCTTTACATAAGAACCTTGGTATTCTATCTCTCTTTTCCCAGTTTTTCGTCTCTCCTCGGAAAGATCGTATTTTCTATCCTTTCTTGTTGGCTTAAGTGAAGTGTGAAATGATGGAAGAGTCGATTAGGGTTAGCGTGGATTGGAAAGATGAAACTTGAGTCGAGTCGAGTTGAGTTGACTTTTCCTTGCGCATTCTACCTAGCACTTCACTACTACAATATACGAACACCATCGAGTCTCTATATACTGTGAACTTTGAAGTTCAGATGGGAATATTTTGACTGTGTATTTCTCTCTTCTAGTCGGTCTTGTGAGGTACGGATTGATAAGGTTACTTTTCTTTGATTTGATACTATACACACGCACGCACGCATATTTAGGTACGCAGTGTCGCTATATCTTTCTCATCTTTTTTTTTCGATTCCAGAAGGTGGAGGAGTGGATAGTGGAGGAGAGGAGAGAGAGAGGGATCGATCAAATGCGCATCTCCATTCTCTTTTCCCGCTATTATTGGGTTTTGATGATTGAGACGTTGAAATTTGTTTTTATTCTTGTGGCGATCGCTTTTATTGTCTTAAGGTTGTTTGGTTGAGGTGGTGTGTTGAGTTTGTGTTTTTACAGTATCGTATGCGCTTTTGGTGTAGGGAAAGAAAGAGGAAGAGAGCAAGAGAGGAGAGAGAGGGAGAAAGAGAGAGATTCAATGCGTATTTCCATTCTGTTTATGGGATTCGATTGGCTGTTGATCATTGAGACGTTGGAACTCGTTTTTATTCTCGTTGTGGTTACGTTTGTGGTTGTGAGGTTGTGAGGTTGAGATTTGAAAGAGATTTATTGAGACTTTCGAGGGGAAGCTGAAAATTCATGTCGGCACATACTTTGAGAGAAAATTTCATTCATTTGATGATTATTTTCAATACAGTTGCATTGGTTTTTGTGGTCATTATCTTGCGCGATTCTGGCACAGTTACGTCAGTTGACCTGTCGATGCAAGAGAAATTGAAGTGGGAGTTGTCTGTCTCTTCTATTTTCTTTTTTCTTCAACAAAGTTGAGGCAGGTGGAATCACAAGACGTTTACATCTCTCATTCACAATCACTGCGAACACAAATACTCGTCAATCATCTTTACGACTCGACCATACCAGATACCGCTCACCTTGACAACCAAGACTTTCGATTCTCAAACAACACTCTAAAATAACCATCACTATGCCACCCAAACGCAAAAAGTCTCTCGTTGAGTCCTCAACCGAATCTCCCACCGCAGATGACAATTTCGACGTCGCATCCGTTGCATCTATACCTTCTACCGCATCCGCTACACCCGTTAAACCCAAGGCTAAAAAACCTAAAATCGAGAAAGGAGAGAAAGCCGAGAAAGTTAAAGCTCCTCCTAAAAGCAAAGCTTCTATTAAAGAAAAGGTACCTCTTAAAGATAAAGAGGTGAAAGGAAAGGGTTTGGCGAAGGAAATTAAGGAGATGAAGGAAATCAAGGAGGCGAAAGACACTAAAGTTATAGGTAAAGATGGCAAGGAGAAAGTAAAAGCCGTGACGGGTGATGAGGCACAAGAGATCTTGTTGGAATATCTGAGTAGGGAGAATAGACCTTTTAGTGCGGGGGATATTAGTGGAAATTTACATGGGAAGGTATGTATTTTTCTCTACTTTCATCTCATCTATCTTGTTCAGTACCTCATTCCATCCTATGTCATCTCACATTCCCCTTTGATCCTTTTCATCTCATACTCCATCCATCTCATGATAGATAATTCGAATACTAACAACCAACACCCCATCAGGTAACCAAAACCCTCACCGACAAACTCCTCAAAGAACTCTGCAACTCCGGTCTCATTAATGGAAAAGGTACCAATGGCGATGGGAAAGGTTCACAATGGGTATACTGGGCCCTTCAAGATCCCGATTCTTCTCTCTCTCCCGAACAACTCGCAGAAATGGATTCTCAGATCCAAGATCTGCAGGGGAGATTGCCAGAATTGAAAATGGATGCGAGGAAATTGAATATACAACTTGCAGGGATGAAAAAGGAAATGGGGGTTCAGGAATTGAAAGATGAGATTGAGAGATTGGAAGAGGGGAAGAGAGAGAAGGAAGAGAGGTTGAGAGTGTTGAGAGAAGGAAAGGAGGTTGTGAGGAAGGAGAAGGTGGAGAAGGTGGAGAGGGAATTTGTGTATTGGGGAAAGATGAAGGGGGTTAGGAAGAGAGGATTTGAAGCGGTGGAGGGAATGTTGTTGGAGGGCATGTCGAGGAAAGATATTTGGGAGAAGGCTGGTATTGAGGGGGATGGGGAGGGGGAGTTGTGATATTGAGGGTGGATCACATTTTCAAGAGATAAAGGGGGATATTTGCTTGTTGGTTTGCTTGCAGGTAGATCTGGGAATGGGAAGATGATGAGCATAAAGGTCAGAATGCTTTATTCAGAAAATCAATGAGGAAACCAGGACTGGGAATATCAAATGGCATCTGTGGATCATGAAGGCTAAAAGTGTTTGATACACATATCATATACCCAAGCTCACCTATTCATAGCTAAGAAATCGAAAAGGGTTCTATAAAACTTGAAACTCCACCAGTGGGTGTATAGATTGACGGGACATTTCCCAATTTTTAATATTTTCCATAAATTCATTCTTCAATTGTTTGATATCAGAATTCGTATTTTGATTGTTTTATCTCTATTCAAGAATTGTAACAATTCCTAAAATAAATGATTCTATATAGCAAAAGATATTCACAAGTTTATTTTTGTACTGGCCCAGGAGTCCGTACACCCACTGGTGCTCCATTCGCAAAAGGCTTGATAGCCCTTCTTCTTATCGGCATTCTTGTATTGAGAAGTAAAGTATACGTGACCTCTTCTTAGTACATCTCTTGCAAAATCCAGGTGGCCTATGAGGAAAGTAAATGACTAAATTAGTGACAATTGATCAATTATCACGTGGGTATAACTATATTCGAGGGTAAGACTGGATTCGTCGTCATAGAAAGAAATAGAACAGATATATAACTCATCCATTCAGTTTTCTTCACTCATACTCTTACACATAACAAGATTCCTCTCACATCTTCAAAAATTTCCATTGTGTAACACACTACCTAATATCTATCACAATGAATTCCTTTCGGAAGCTCCTTTTCCTATTCCGAAAGCCTCAGAAATCCATACCTTCACCACGGCCCGATGCTTTATCATCTTCCATCCTAAAAGATATACCAGCAGAGATCCTCTTACATATCATGGGTTACCTCCCTCTAGAATCCGCAGTGGTTGTTTCCCTTTCCTGTCTACAACTAAAGAAAAAACTCGGAAGCGAATACTTCTCAAGAATAGCTTCCTCGCCCGAACGCACACTGGCACTATTGAATCTTATAGTCCTCGATCTACCAAACTGCGTTGTGTGTTCTGCCTGCAATCGACTGCACAATATGGAAAATTTGCTCAGATATTGCTGTATAACCTACAATGCTGGGAATAAAACACGTCAGTACGACATGTTACGTCTTCCAGCTTGTGTGTCTGAGGATCGAGGGAGATCTAGTAGTATAGTCAGTTATTATTTTGGTTCTACTGTGGTCAAGATGGCCTTGAAAAGAGCGTATCAGAATCCCGCGTGTACGGAACTAGTGACGATGATGTCCGGTCCGAGCGTGAGGATGATTGACTGGGGAAAGTATCTACGACAATATAGAGAAGAATGTCGTATTGTTCAAGGGCATCTAATGCATCGATTGCAAAGTGTATTCATTTCTGATGACTGTGAAAAACACACCGCGTTTCGAAGTCCCTTGTCTCCAACAGAGAATATATGTACGCACACCAGATTGTCGCCCCGTTCCTTCTTGGATGCGGTCGGATTTGGGGTGATGAGATGTGAGAAATGTTCTACAGAATACAGGATTGATATTGTGTACTGCGAGGGTCTCGGATGGGGGAGATCCTTCATTAGATGGATAGACTTGGGATCTGAGCAGGAGGGGGAATTGTGGAGTCGACACCTTCCGCCGACAGAAAGAACGCAAATGAGAAGATGGAGAGGTCTGTTTGAGGGGAAAGTTAGCGCTAAGACTGATGTGGTATCTCAAAGTGAAATGGAGGTTCTGCCAAAGGTTGGAGAGTTATGCCGTGCTTTCGAGGGTAGTAAGGACTACAAATTCGACTCACTCTTGACACCGGAGAACAAAGCCACATTCTTGCAATTCAGAGAGCTGTACTGCAGAAAGAAACTCAGTTCAAGATAAGTTACAGCAAGCCTTCAAGTCTGCCAGTCTGGATTATTAGACGCCATGCTCTCACTGTTTTGACGTTCCGAAATCACACACCATTCCAACCGTATTCGATGTACAAAACGACTTCGGCACATCAAGAAGCTCTATTGTTCGTATTGATATTGGATCTTGAACAATAGTGCCAAGACCAATGACCTCGAGGAGGCGGTGGATGACTCGAGCGGCAGCCCGAAGTTGAACAAGATCCGGCATTTCTGGCGAGTCCTCTGCGAAAGGAGCGCGGGGAGCTGGTGGCGACAGCAGCGGCGGAGGAAGAGACGAAGCCCGGGGAATCGCCAACCCATTCTGTCAAAAGCGAAAGGGGCAACACAAAGTACTGCCAGTACAGTTAGAATGGTGACCCCGTCACCAGAGAGAACCCTGCGGAAACCTTCCTCGACACCCTCATCCACCAATTCCTCTCCATTCGTGCGCCCTCGTGGTATATAAATCCAATTTTTACTGTTATTTTGAAAAATACAGAAATCTATCGTACCATAAAAGGTACAATGAAGTTGGAGTTCGCTCCTAACCACTTTGAAACCCTCTCCGATTCTTCCCCCCCTCTCTTTCTTTTTTTAAATCTCTACCAATCGCCCGTGGTCGTTTTTGGGCTGTTTGGTTTTGATAGAGAAATCGGGGTTCACTTTCAAGTTATATAGGGTCTGGAACCTCTGTTAGCGGAGGTTATAAGTCTTATTAAAAGACTTACCTAGTATTTAAATGATAATACTAGTAGATTGCCTATTAGTGTTCGTCGCTCTAAGAGCATCTAGCTCTTCGGAGCTAAGCTCCATTTCACCCCGGAACATCTCGGAGAAGGGTAGGTGAGTGCCCAAAGACACCCAAAGAAGCTCGGAACGAGCCTACGGCATCAAACCGATCCAGTTCCAATCCATGGCATAGTGCCGCGAAGAAAAGAACAAACAAGTAAGTATGAGTACATACTCAACAAGCCACCATCAAGGCCAAGTGGTATATAAGAAATCTCTAAAGGCGAAAGATCAGAAGCTGCCGCAGGAGAAAGCAAAGCGGGAGCAACGTTATCGTTGCATGCGACCAAAGTTTTCCTTCCACTTCTGGTCTTGCTCGTCAATTCTTATCACTCCTTCCTTTTGGGGGGGGGATTAATATCTTAAATGGGAATGAGCGATCACGATTTGACGATATCATCCATCCTTCTTAACTTTCCAATTGACCCCACCCGTCCTCCCCCCCCCGCCGTCCGCCCCATGGCTCGGTACAGATATGCGAGATTAACCGGGAGTTTTGGTTGTCTGAGTTGTGGTTAGATTATGAGGGGGTCTGGGTTGCTGGATCTTGTCGGAGTACTGAAGAGGTTTTGATTGTTGAATATATTTTAGATAATGAACACATTTTAGACATTAAACAATTTTAAAATATTGAATATATTTTAGATTATAAAACATTTCAGACCATGAAAACAATTTGAACATTAAACAATTTAGACATTAAACAATTTTAAAATATTAAATACGTTTTAGATATTGAACAAAGTTTAGACAATGAATCTATATTAAATATTAAATATTAAATATATTTCAGATATTAAATATATTAAATATATTGAACATGTTTCAGATAATGAAAACATTTTAGACAATGAATCTATTTTAAAGGTTAAAACTATTTTAGATATTGAATACATTTTAGACAATGAAAACAATTTAGATATTAAATAATTTTAAAATATTTAATACATTTTGAATATTAAATAAAGTTTAGATATTAAATAAATCTTATAACGTGGTTTTTCAGCATGTGGCTCATATCAGCATGTGGCCCACTTCGAAAATACACTAAAATCGAGGTTTTTTTAATAATCATATTTTAATAATTAGTTATTATTTTGAAAGAAAAAATCATAAAAAATCATAATAAAAATAAAACATTTATAATATTTAGATTTCTTTTTTAAATAATTTATTTTAGTTCGAAATTGTTACACTTTATATTACAAAATCTCTTTTTCTTTAATAACTTTGATAAATATTTGAAAAATAAGGTTTTATATAATAAATTTTTGAAAAATTCTATCAACTAATAAAGAAAATACACGGTTATGTACAGACGAATTTTGTATACAAAATGAAATGGGCCACATACTGATATAGGCCATATACTGATAAACCACGTTATATTAAATACATTCTAAATAATAAATACATTTTAAACATTAAATACATTCCAAACATTAAATACATCCCAAACAATGAATCCACTTCAAACACTAAATAAATCCTAAACATCAAATAAACTTCAAATACTCACCCTATCCTAGACAACCAATACATCCTGAAGACTGAAATAAAACACTTTCAACCAACTATTTTCAACACTTCTTTCTCATCCCCAAGTCTTCCCTACTTCCCTAATCACCTACTATCCTCCAATAAGCTCACGCCCTTCGACCCCCCCTAATAATTCTCGTTCCTATATCTTCAATCCCCTTTTCCCCTTCCCATCTCCAACATATCGGAAACTCCAGCATGTTGAATTTCGAGATTAAATCTCATTCTGACGATCATAACACCACTTCTTCCTCGTCACTTCTTCCTCACCACCCCTTTTCTCAACTTCCTGATTCTCGCCTGCTCCGACTAGATACCTCACTTCAACTATCTCGTCCTCATCTTCCTTCCAAACTGAACCTTCATCTCCTGTCTCCATCCGCTATCCTCTATTACCTAACGTAAATCCATACAATCAAGATCCTTCTATATCCCTTTAACCTACCATCCATCGTCTGTTATCTTGATATCCAGTCCAATTCCTATACTCGAGTAATGCCTTCCAAGAAACAACATATTCATAACAAGCGAAACCTGAGAAAGATAGCAAGGCTATTATAACAAAATGTCCAGGAGAATGCTTAATTTTGAATTTTGATATCCCAAAACTATCTAACATCTCCCCTCTCTCAATCTCTTTACCTACTCATTATAAGAAAGCAAAAAAGCAAAAAAGCACTATCGGATATAGAATATGAATCGGATGACTTCATATTCATCTTCTTCCTCCCTCGTCTTCATCTTGCAGTGTTTGATGTGTGTGACCTGGGTTGTGGTCCAACTTGATGCAAACACTCTACTTGAGTACTTTCGTTCGATGTTTCTATCTACTAGGTATCTACCTCACAAATATACCTGCTCATCACAGATATCCATCCATCCATCCATTCCTCACAGTACAATACCCACAACACCACTAAGTGCCGATACCCCCCCCCTCTCAAAATCCAAATTCAAATCCTCATACCTACACATACCAATCTACATCTACTCATTATTACATGAGATACAGTATATTATAAACATGTTATATATCGCGAATAACAGTAGCAAATGAAAACCAATCAAATGAGAATAAATAAAATAAAATTAAATAAAAGCAGATATACCTACAGATCCCTACTTATCTTGATACCTAGTATATACAACAGATATGCATGACACTTATGTCGATGATGTAATCTTACTTTACATAGGTACCTAGGTATATCGGTATATGCCTACTTAACCTAAATACCTACTCTATATAAGATATATATCTATGTACCTACCTATCCACCCAACCCCCCAACCCAAATCAACCCTACTTAACCAACCGAACCTTACCGAACTGCACCTACCTATAGGTACCTACCTAATAGATACACCACCACCATTACCGATATCACAAATATAAATACCGATACTGATAACACACCGGAGAACTACCTCCAGAGAGTTGGGTTGATAGGTGTGCGATGTGATGTGAGTGAGTGAGTGGGTGAGTGAGTGTGATACCATTCGCATGAACATTCTTTATTTCTTTTCTTTTCATTTCATTTCTCGTTTACTAGATTCTAGAGTAGGTACCTAGTATTTCTTGGTTGGGCTGGGGGGCTTGGACGGAGAGAGGGAGGGAGGGAGGGATGGATGAGATGAGACATTGGGTAGAGGGGTGGCTTGTGGGACATGTGATATGTGAGATGTGATACTGGTAGTGTCGGGTATGTATTGAACAAGGCTTTGTGTTAGAATAGATGGGATGGGATGGGTGGGTAGATGTGTGGCTAGAGCGGCTGATTAAAAGGATAGGTAGGTGGCGACCGTTGAAGATATCAAAAGATGGGATGGATGGTTGAATGAATGATGATGTGAGAAAGAGGTTGAAACTGAGATTGAGATTGCAAAAAAATGTGGCTGATGATCCGAACTCGATGACATCCATATGTGATGATTCTTGGCTGTGTGGTTTAAGGCTGGGCTGGGATGGGAGTGTGCTTGCTTGTTTGGATATATACATGATATCCATACCTAGGTAGGTAGGTATTATTAGGTACTTGGGTATACATACTAGGTATCAATATCGATATCGCTTCGGAGAAATCGAGCTCGTTTAATAAGGTTTAGATCAGATCGGGTTTATATCATCTGATACCATACCTGGGCTCCCGCCATTCTCGGTGCTTTGGAATGAATGAATGAACGATGTGACGAGGTGGGTATTCGGATACGATGGGATGGTATTTGATGTGAGTATTTGCATTGTGTTAAGCTTCTCGTTTATGCGGTTTTGCAGATAGGTACCTAAGTAGGGAGATAGGCGGTATGTATGTATTCTGTACAGGGCATACTTCAGCTATGCAGGCCGATAGACAGGCAGGAGAAACATCAAAATGCAATCTCTAGAGGAACCAAACCTATGAATCATTGGTCACGAACCCCCGATTCCCATGATGGGAATTCATGGAATGGGATAGATGTGAATGTGAATGTGAATGTGAATGTGAATGTGAATGATGGATGGTTTCGTATCCGTATGGACATTCTGAAACACTACACCCACTGCGCTATCAGCGGCTAGGAGATTCGGACCTACCGTCGCCAGTGATGGTTTACTTGGGTATTCGATTAGGTGGGAATATTGATCGATCTTTCTATTCTGGTATGGACGCTATGTATGTCTTACTTGATGAAGATAGAATTGGATCTCTTCTGCATGGTTGATCGGCTTGCGACATAATGGTGATGTATGCATTTTGAAAGGGTACTTTGAAAGGGTACTTACTTGCTTGCTTGCTTGTAAGTTCAGATGGATGGCAGCTGATAAGAGACTTTTTTTTGTTTTGGAAAGAATGATGGATGTTGGATATCATGAATAGATGAAATGGGATATGTATCTAGTATCTATTGAGGTAGCATAATTACTAACCTGGTAATAATTTGGTAGATTAATTCACGTTTTGCATCAGTAGTTGAAGAGGTGGTTGGTGTATGATGATATTTATTGTTGCTGGAGATTCGAAGTCACGGGGTCGGATTTACCATACCATTCATACCTGCCTAGGTACCCGGTCGATAGACTTGATGTGTTGTATTGCATCAATGTCAACTAGAAAATTAATAAGTGAGACTTGTTATTGTTTTCTTGCTAAAGCGCTTTGAGACACCGGATTCCTGTTCGGGACGGTGAGATGCTTGATGAGATGTGCAGGTACTAAGTAGGTTGACGCCGCCACCCGGGACATTTGATTTGAATCACCATTCTCTGTCCAAGAATCAAGTTGAATAGAATATTTATGAACATCTTGATTGCTAGTATATATCACTCCTCTGCTATTCTATTCTCAGACTGTAATGAAGGACATAGTATCTCATGGCCAAATACGTCTTGCTTTGATTTCATCGGGAATGATTAAAACCGTCGACCAGGAGAAAGCAAGAAAGGCCCAGACCCAGATCCTCGGTTATCAAATTGTACCCCCATTCTCCTCCTCAAAGACTCCAAAGTATATTCTTGCGCAATCATCAGGCGGACGGGGGGTCAATGAGTAAATATCTATTGCGCTATATCCATCAATCGTGAACCTTATACTCATAGTTCATACTTGGAATCTTTAGAAGACTCCACCAACAAGCGGTCTGACATCTCCTGGACATCTCCTGGATATCTCCTGGACATCATCTTCGAGTCTCCTTACCTCGCACATGCAATTTGTGAGTCCAGATTCATACTGGAGATACGGACGGCGTGCCACCATCACCACACTTTTTATATGACACCAAAACGCACGACCAGCAGGTTAACCTTACCCAAGCAAACTCGAAACTCGAGACTCGAGACTCTCCTCTTTGTCAGTCAGGTCAATCGAGATTGGAGAAGAGTAAGTAAATATCAAGTCATTAATTCAAGGTTTCATGATTGCTCTGTTAACTTTACAATAAGGCTTGTTTTTCCCCAGAAGTTAGAAGTGTTGGAAGTTAGAAGTTATTTCAGCCTCGACACTTTTAGAGGAATTCCAAGGTTGAATACTGGTACAGCGGGAGCCATTCTATGCTTGCACAGCCATCTTTGCCTCATACTTGCCTCATACTCGGTACTCTACTCTGCAGACCTCCTCGTATTAACGTTATACATATTTCATTCATATTATATTACATTATATCATATCTAATCTGGGTAGTATCTATCTATCTATTTGACTATCTCACTATCTATCTATCATACTTGATCATCCACCATCCATAAATTGAAGATAAAATATCTACCAGCACCACAAATCAAAACTACCTATATTCTCTACCTACCTAGTATCTGATTTCTTCAACATCCAGACAACACCAAACAAGACAAGGACTCGAAAGAATTAGAAATTAAGGAATGAGAAAACTATCAAAAACAAGAACTTGCTTATTACTTATTACCACTGCTTATTAATTAATTACTTCTACTACTACTACTACTTCTTCTTTCCATTATCAAACCTTTCCTTATCCTCTCGCCTCTTTTTTTTTCTCCACGAGGCTAAGATAGAGAGAGAAATCCAAAGCTAAAATCAAATCATTCATTCAATCAATCAATCAATCTACTTTTAAACTAAACCTCCATCCTTCTTTTCGTTCTTCTTCACCACACACGACCCTCGATCAATAATCCCCCCCCCCCACCATCCACCACCCACCTCACCTTGTCTTGTACCCCGCCGACCGCATCCATCTCTTTTAAACAACAACATAAATTTTCCAATCATATCTATATTCCATTTTCCTGAACTCCATTCCCATTCAATAAGATTTCGGGCATGGATACAATGTTGGGTAACGGAGCGCCACAACCGCCGCAGCCGCAGCATATGCGAAATGGCAGCAGCTCCAACACTCAATATCCTCGTCATATGAGCACAGGCAGCTTAAATATTCCTAACGGTCAATCGGGTCCTATCAATGGTGGTTCTGCTAGAGCAGATGGTGTTGCAAGAAGTCCTCCTACTAGACAAAGTAAGAACTGAAAGCTTCCGGGAAGTTGTTGGTGATGATGAAGTTGCTAATGCGGCTTTGCATAGATACCGGTCATGTTCCGTGTAAATTCTTTAGACAAGTGAGTAAAGTTCCAGCTTCTAATCTACTAGAAATGATCGAGTTGCTGATTGCTGATGGTTGGGAATTGTTAGGGTACTTGTCAAGGTATGTCATGTATTCTGAAGCATCACCACCGGAGCCTTCGACTAACAAGTCATCTATAGCTGGTCAAGCTTGTCCTTTTAGTCACGATCTAGCTAGCACAACTGATAATGTCTGCAAATACTTCTCAAAGGTATTGAATTCTATTCACCAAGTCAAATCAGGATTCTAATGTTCTGCAAAGGGTAACTGCAAGTTCGGACCTAAATGCGCAAATATACACGTTCTCCCCGATGGAAGACGAATCAATTATAATAAAAATATGCCACCGATGGCTCCGGGACTAAACATTGGAGGACGAATAAACCCAGATCCATATCATGGACAAGGCTCGGCTTTAACCACTTCCTTTGCTCGAGCTCAAGGTGTACCACCTTCACCATACGGTCAACCTTACTCACCTTTTGCCATACAAGAGGATGGATTTGTTCCCATGATTGGCAGACAACAAGGTATTGATATCGGTATCCCCACGATCGAAGCGAGTTATGCGTCGCATCCCGGATCAAATTATGGATCGCCCAGGGATGATATAATGGATCGATTTGGTGGGGGACTTTCGCCAGTTGCAGCAAAAGGGTTGAGTGTGTTGGATGCTCCTTTGCCAGCTTCGTTCGATAGCAATGGTGTTTCATGGATTGCAAGACATGGAAAGATAGCATCCTCAGTTCCTACGACTTTTGGTATCGATTCTCCTCCAGCATCATCAGTCGGTGGGGGAAAGCCGTCGGATGCCTTGAGAAACTTACATAGTTCTGCATTCGGAGATGATACCAGAGATCGATTCCATGGCATTGCATCATCTCCACCATCCGAAGAATACTTTGGCAAGCGCACTATGCACTCTCAACGATCGACCAAGCCAAAGATGATATCAGCAAGTCTTCCCAAGGGACGCGAGGAGCAAGATTGGGGTGAGGCTTTTAACTTTGAAGAAGATTTACTGCCAGAATCTCTTAATGATCTTATGACACCAGCAGAGAAAGCTAGAAGAAATTCTCGGGCAGCCTATGACGAATCGAAGCCACCTCGAGGATTCTACGACGAGATCAGATCTACATCTTACACCCCAAGCAATGATACCCCGACAAAATTCGGCTCTCCATCAAACGGAAGTCCTTCTAGGTGGAATGCTTACTTTCAATCGAAACCCAAGGAAGAAGAGATTTCTCGAGCGTCAGTATTTGGACATGTTGGCTCTCCACTTCGTAACTCCCTTCTTCATGAAGGAGCAAGTCCTGGCTCTAGAACAATTGCTCGACCTAATACATCTGGTGATGCATCTTCATTTATTGCATCTCCTCCACGTCATACCCCTCTGTCTATGATTTCTCAGCAACTCCAACGAACTCGCCTTTCCGGAACTGAACCTATTGGTAGCGGATCCAGCCTCCTTTCATCATCATCAGCGCGTACTACAACTACTCCTACCAGTTCAAGTCGATCGCCCTTTGCAGCTGATAGACAGACTAGCTCAAATAGTATTGGTGGCAGTGGCAGATTCACAACACCTATCGATGAGGAACAGGGCGATTTTGTCTTCAACATGGAAGGTATGGATGATGATGAGAGAAGTCAAAAGAAAAGCAGCCCTTGGAACATTGGAGGAAGTGATAAGAGCCCAAGTCTAGCCGCTATTGGTGGTGGTCGAACTATTCCAACGAATAAGACCAACGGCAGTGGTATCGATGGAATGTTTGGTGGGCAATGATTCTGACTGTCAATTTCGGGGTTCAATTCGCACTGTCGATTGACTAGCTAACCATTGGATCTTTCGGACTTCAACATACGTAAATCGAATTGCGATCTTCACTTCTCCTGTACCCTTGGTTATTCGGTTCACATCTACACATCAGCGCTCAACATTCGACTTATTTGCACACACATCTCCGAACATATCACGATTGTATCATAGAGAGTTTGACCTTGGGGTTTCTTTTAATACAACTGGAGTTGATCACAAAGTTCATTCGCTCTTTCTGCGATTTTGCATAATAGGGTAACGACGGAAATTTGGGAAATATGGGGGTTTGTTTTGTCTTTTTCTTCATTTGGAAAGCGGGGAGTTCTTTTATGAGGTAATATGATCATAGCAAAAAGGCAAAAGATCATTGCAAATACTGCTGCATACATACCAGAATGGTTTTGAATGATTGGAAGAAAGAATAGCAATGAGAGTTTGTAGATTATGATATGATGAGTATCCTGGTTGTGAGTGATTGTGAGTGAGTGATTCATTGACTCTGATTGGCTTGCATTCACGAGTAAACAAAATAAACCAGATATGCAACAGAAGAGAATCGATGTCCAGGTGGATATAATACCTATCCAATAATTGTATGAGCTGAACTTACACATAACCCAAAGATGGAAACCAATCAGCTGGTGATTTCAGAATGAGCTTTGACCAGCCTCAGGTTGTAAAGTATGACTAAGCGTCTCAAGGTTGCTTCCATCAACGCGGCTCCACAGCTACCTTGCCATCTCCAAAAGCTTCGAATTACAATCATACCAACTTCTTCGCCCTATCACTCAAACAACCCATTTCCTCTCCAAATTTTACGACGAAACAAACAAATTTACTACTTGAACAATCAAGATGTCAGAACGCGACCTTCAAACAATTATTCAAAAACTCAAATCTCCATCTACATCCTACCAAGAGAGCTCATCACTCCTCTCCAAAGCCAAACTCACACTTCTCAAATTAAATGCCTTGACTCCACAAGCATCAACATCACCTTCCATATTATCCCTCGCTCGCGAAGTCTTCGAAACCGGTGCTCTAGTTTCCATTCGGGCAAAGGATCCAGCTGGTTTCACACGTTACGTTCATCAATTAACTCCATACTACGAGCTTCCCGACGACAAATTTAGCGCCAAGAGCTCGGGAGAGAAGAATAAGATCACAGGATTATATCTTTTGTTGTTGTTGACACAGGGAGATTATGCGGGCTTTCACACGGAATTGGAGGGCTTGGAATTGAGGGAGGATGGTGGAAAGAGGGTTGAGGAAGATAAATATTTGGGATATCCAATTAAGTTGGAGAGATGGTTGATGGAGGGTAGTTATGATTTGGTTTGGAAGGCAATGGAGGGTGGTAAGGTGCCGAGTGAGGAGTATGGGGTCTTCAGTGAGGTATGTTGGTCTAGTTGTTACGTTGTGTCATGTTTGTCCAATCAGCCGCAAGGTTGGAAGAGAGTGCTGTTACTGCAGATTCCAAGAAGCTTACTAAGTAACACTTTACGCATAGATCTTGATTAACCAAATTCGCTCTGAAATTGCTTCGTCCTCCGAAACAGCATATCCATCCCTACCTATTTCATCCACAAAGAACCTCCTCTTCTTACCATCAGAAGGAGCAGTAGTACAATTTGCGCAACACAGAGGATGGTTGATTGAAGATGGACGGATATACTTCCCTAATCAAAAGTTGAAGAATGGTGTTAATGTGGAAGCTGGAGAGGTTGCCGAGGAGAAGGAAGTTAGTATGACAGCTATTGAGAATACCCTTGGTTATGCTAGAGAGTTGGAGACCATCGTGTAAGCTGGATATTGTGTCTGGCTGCGCATGATACTTGATTGATGGGAGGAATGGAGGGATGGAAGGGTAGAAAAATGATATGCATAGATGAGGGAGCATAAGAAATCATGGGTGTAACTTTAGATAGCGGGCATGGTATAATATCCATATGACATTTCGATGACTTAATTCATGCTTGCATATTCTGCCTCTAGGACTGATCATATCAAAGGTTGTCAAAAAGTAGCTCCTGGGAGATTCATGTAGTGAATTAATACAACCGTATTTCAGCTTTAGTGCCTTCTCTGTGTGAACGAGATAATAAACTCCTATCTTTTAACTACTTGCGTGGACGTATACAATTTACGATTCATCAGACTTGTCAATCGATCTCCCAACAGTAATTGCATGGAAATAGATGCTTACTTACTACGTAGATATATCCACTTGTCATTCATAGATTACACTTTGCGCCAAAAGACGTGACTTCGCGAATCGAAATTTGGACAAAGCGCGTCTCCCTTGAAAATACCGGGATAGACATCAATATCATTGTGCCACGAGCCACGAGCCACGAGGTAAAAGATTGATTGAAAGGAAATTGGGTATCTAGAGACTCACGAACTTTTTGCTTTTAAGTCTTGAGATCTTGCTCGAGTTTCTTTTTTGGAGATTGATCACCGGACTCCTGATCAATTTCTCAAATCACCTTCATATTTCAGAACAGGCAAACAATGGATCTCCCCAACATGCTCTCGGGTATGGATACGGAAATTGAAATCCATGATGGGAAAAGAGATTTTCATCACCCGTACACCCCGTATCCGATCCAGGAAACGTTTATGCAAACGGTGTGGGATGTTTTGGAAGAGGGAAAGATTGGGATTTTGGAGAGTCCGACAGGGACGGGGAAGAGCTTGAGTTTGATTTGTGGGGGGGTGACGTGGTTGAGGGGGTGGAAGGGGAGGGCTTTTGAGGGGGTGGTTGAGAATGAAGGGGAGGGTCTCACTGGCTCGGGGCTCGCCAGCTCATCGGAACCGGAGTGGGTGATTGAGGCGGCGAGGGAGAGGAGGAAAACGGAGTTGGTTTCGAGGAGGGAGGAGATGGAGAGGAGATTGGAGAGAATTCGAGAGAAAGAGAGGAAGGAGAGAGATAGGATGGCCGGGAAAGGTGATGGGAGGAGTGGGAAGAGAAGGAAGATTGGGGGAGATGGGGTTGAGGATATGAAGGGAGAAAGTGCTGGTGGAAATGAAGACGAGTTTCTATTGGAGGACTGGGATAGTGATGGGGAGACTGGTGGTAGTGGGAAGAAAGGAACTGGAGATGAAACTATTTTCTCAAAAGAAACGTTGGAGTTGAAGAAGAGTGTTGGGTTGTGGAGCAAAGGAGTAGAAGATGAAGATGAGGAACAGGATGATGAGATGAAGGTTTTTATGAACTTTGATGATTTCATGTTAATTACTAATAGGTAACAGATATTTTACTGTTCAAGAACTCATTCTCAACTAACCCAGTTCATCAACGAACTTCGACGAGTAGAATTCCCACCATCTATACCTCCATCAGAGACACCCTCGAAATCACCAGAAGAAAAGCGAGAACCCCTCCACGAACACCTCAAGCATCTAACCCTCGGTTCCCGCAAAAATCTCTGCATAAACCCCAAAGTAAATAAACTCAACTCCGTAACCGCAATCAACGAACGTTGCGCCGAACTCCAACAATCTTCAACCCCCAAAGAACAAAAATGTCCTCATCTCCCCAATAAAGATAACAAACCTCTCGTCAACACCTTCCGCGATCATGCACTCGCTACGATCCGCGACATCGAAGATATGGGTTCTCTGGGGAAAGAAATCTCAATCTGTCCATACTATGCTTCGAGAGCTGCCATCAAACCCGCGGAAATAGTCACATTGCCTTATCCGTTACTTTTGCAAAAGAGCGCAAGGGAAGCGCTTGGGATTAGTTTGAAGGGACATGTGGTGATTATTGACGAGGCGCATAATTTGATGGATGCGATTTCCGGGATCTATGGGACGGAAATGGAGTTGAGGGAGTTGAGGCTGGCAAAGGAAATGCTGGGGAATTATTTTCGGAAGTTTGCGAAGAGGTTGGGGGGGAAGAATCGGATTTATGTGGCGCAGACGATTAGGGTGGTGGATAGTTTGGTGGGTTATTTGGTGAGGATGTTGGAGGGGTCGGTAAGTTTTGTTCTCCCTATTTTGGAGTTTGGATTTAAGTTTGAGGAGGTGAAGAAAGAGAACGAGATGAATTAATAGGTACACGATAGCTAACAAATAAAATAGGCAGTAGATGGAGTAATCTCTCAAAAAGTTCTCCTATCCGGAAAAGGAGCCGATCAAATCGATCTCTTCAAATTGATCCGTTATCTCCAAGAAAGTAAACTAGCACGCAAAGTCGAATGCTACACCGACTATATCCGAACATCCCAATCCCAACCACAAACCTCCATCTCCTCATCTGAAGCCAAAGAAACCTCCAAATCAACCCCCATTCTACATACCCTAACATCTCTCCTCCTTGCTCTCACCCACCCCACATCCGAAGGCCAACTCTTCTTCCTCAAACACGATGCCGACATCACTCTCAAATTCCAACTCCTCAACCCGGCCATCCACTTCGACTCCATCGTTTCCTCCGCCCGTGCCGTCATCCTCGCAGGTGGAACCATGTCCCCCTTCTCAGACTATACATCCATCCTCTTTCCCTCCATCCCCGCCCACAAAATCACCACTCTCTCCTGCGGCCACGTCATCCCATCCAGAAACCTCTTCGCGAGCGTCGTCTCCAAAGGCCCCACGGGATACCCCTTCAAGTGGACGTTTGAAAATCGCGCGAACGCGGAGATGATGGATGAGTTGGGGAGAGTCCTCGTGAATGTTTGCACGGTTGTTCCTGGGGGCGTGGTGGTTTTCTTCCCCAGTTATAGGGTCTTGGAGACGATTCTTGCGCGCTTTGCGGTTGTAGGTCAGGGGAATGGTAGTAGTGGTAATAGTACCAGTAAACCCAAATCCATCCTCCAAAGATTAGAAGAAAAGAAAACGGTGGTGCGGGAAGCGAAAGAGAAAAGTGTGGAAGAGATACTCAGGAGATATGGAAAAGCGATTGAGGAGGGAAAGGGTGGATTGTTGTTTAGTGTTGTGGGGGGAAAATTGAGCGAGGGAATTAATTTCTCGGATGAGTTGGGGAGGGCGGTGGTGATTGTTGGGTTGCCGTTTCCGAATGCGAGGACGGCGGAGTGGAGGAGACGGCTGAGGTTTGTCGAGGAGAAGGCTGTTCAGCGGTTATCGGGGGATTATCGTTCTTCTCTGAAGGGGCTGGGAGATGGAGGGAGTAAAATTGAAAATGAAAATGAAACTGGGGATGCAGGAGGCAAAGAAGGGAATACGGAAATCGAATCACAGATTCCGAAAGAGATTAAAGAACAGATCGCCCACAAAGCAAAAGAAGAAGCGAAGGAATTTTTCGAAAATTTATGCATGCGAGCGGTGAATCAGAGTGTAGGCAGGGCGATCAGACATAAAGGAGATTGGGCGGGGATTTTAATGGTGGATGAGAGGTTTAGGGGGGAGAGGGTGAGGGGGAAGCTAGCCGGCTGGATTAGAGAGGGGGTTAGGGGGGTGGTGGAGGAGGAGCAGGGGTTTGGGAGGGTGGTGGGGGGGTTGGGTGGGTTTGTTAGGGGGAGGAGGGATGGGCGGGGGTAGGAGAGGGTAGAATGAATTTTTATCGAATGAGAGATGGATCATAATGACTATACAATTATCGAAAAATTTGAATTTGTATATGGACTTACACATAGTTATACACATGCACATACATATAAACACTACAATGTATCCCTTCTCTTCCCTCACTCCCATCTCCCATCTCCCATACAAATTATAAATTTCATCTCAAGTGCCTATCCATCTATCTATCTACATCACCCAGTACCCGACCACCCAGTACCCAAACAATACCCACCCCATCATCAAAAGATCAAGATCACCCAGTCACCTAGATGATGAGAAATTTCTCGCTTAATTTCTCGTTTCGAGTTTGGGTTTGGAGTTTGGGTTTACCGAGGAGTATTTGATTGGATAGATTGATCGTTTTTATATGTTGTATTTTTTATGGATTTTTTATTGTTTTAATTTTTTATATACTTTTGTATACTTTTTATTGTATATATATACATATCTATATATCTAAATACTCAATTCAGATACTCATTACATATTTATATCTTTATATCTACTATATCGTATACCTCTTAGCTAGCTCAACTCAACTCAACTCAACTCAACTCAACCCAGCTTAGTATAAACATTTATGGTCTCCTGATTGAGGGATTAAGGGATTGATGAATGTTCCGCCCCGTTTCGTTAGACTGGTGGATTAGGAAGGGGTAGTGAGAGTGAGAGTAAGAGATTTTGCTTTCTTGTATGGTTGAATGAATATATAAGGGGAAGGGAGTTTTCAGGGACTTCGATTTGAGAGCTGGGAGTTGAGAGTTTTGGGTTTGGATGATAGAAGGGTTTGATTTATTATTATTGGGTGTTTGGATTAGAACTTTTAATTTTGATAGAAAGCTAGGATAAAAAGGTGTATTGTGAGCATGTATTACTGAATTATTATATATTCTAGAAAGTGACGGATGTGATTGTCTTGTGAGCTTAGGTTATATGGCACTGGTGGATAAACAGGATTGGTCAAATCACATACTGTGAGAAGGAGAGTCTTTCTGAGGCTGGACAAAGAATAAGTAAGAACATGATCTTTATTACTAATAGGATATTAATTAATATCAAAACTATATAAGGTCATCAGCATAAGGGGGAGGTGCTTCCTCATCATATTCTCCAATATTAGGAAGCCCAGCATTATTAACCAACCTATCCGCTGCATCCAATCTCTTTTGTTCCTCCAATTTCACCACCCACAATGCCGATCCAACTGCTGAAGTTAGTAGGAAAAACATCGAAAGCACAGGTACAAGTTGTAGTAGTAAAGCAACTGTTCCAAACCTATTTACTATTAGTATATCTTCGTTTCCAATATGGATATCAGAATAACGAACCAAGTATATTTCCACTTCCTACTATTGATTTCTCTCTTTCTTTCCTTCTTTGTCAAACCCCGTAATTTGAAATATCTCCAATGATGTAAAGGACCAGCTCTCGCACCCGTCAAGATCAAGAAAGCAGGTGTTCCAATCACGGGTATAAAATTAAGAGGAAGGAATATAACAAATTCCGCTATTTGTCGAAAAGAAAATGGCGAGTAAACCGCAGATGTGGTTGGTTTTCCGAGCATTTTAACTTCATTTTGGGCATCGTGATTGAGCATTCGTGAAGGAGAAACGAGATCGATGAGTCCCTCTTTAATAAGTGTTGCCTGTTTTAAATTCCATTAGTTCTGCGAATCAAAGGAAGGAGGAATACATACATCGAAAACATCTACCAATGTTTCATCTACCAATAATGCTTCAAACAATAACGCGATCAATACTTGTCCCTCTCCGAGCACAAGAAAGACTGCATTAAACCATGCTCCTGGCCCATGCCATATCGCCAGAAAAGCTACTTGCGGTAGATATGTAAAAGTAAATAGTAGACCGAGAACAACAATTGATGTTATGGTGAGGGGAATCAATCGTTTGCCAAACAGAGGATAGAATTGGCGATCGGAGAGGAAATATAAGATGCCTTTGAAAGGATAGAGAAAGGATGCGCTGACTACAGTTTTGATGGGAAGGTATGCGAGAGAAGGGTCGAAACGAGGGTGAGGCATTGGATTGTAGATGAAGATTAGAAAGATTGTGGTGGATTGTGGAATGTGGAATGTAGAATATGAAATTGATAGGAATTGATTTATTGAATACTCGTATGGTGTTGGTGTTGTCTATGATAATAATAGTTTCCGCGAACCCGTAAAACGTTGCTATGACGCGCAAATATAATCGTGATTATGTAAGCGATCAATGCAACATGGATCGCCAAGTATGGGGAAGTCATACACTACTGCGAGGACCGTTGAATGTTGGCGGGGCAGCTGCAGAGATCAGAAGTACATCAAGAGTATCAAGTTGGCGTTGAACGGGTTTGAATCGATTTGTTTATTTACAGAGTGCTTGTTGTTTATAGGTATAAAGAAAGAGTAGTTATGCTGAGAATATGTAAGTTATTTCCTTTTGTTTGATTGAAGAACCAACAAATTCTACAAACAACATCAACATCCTCCCCTCTTCAATCCAAACAAGCGAAAGCCCATTTCTAATCTTACCGAATAGGATTGAAACCACGATCCGTCTTCGTCGCGCAATCCATACACCCGATGCGTCTCTCGTAAAACGAATCCTCAAATCCCATCCCAATCTCCTTCACAATCCCGATATCTCACCTCACGGTCTCTCAAACACATCTCTACATCTAGCCTCCTCTCTCGGACATCTAGAGGTTGCATCTCTCCTTCTCTCTCTCGGTCATGAATCCTTATCCATTTCGCTCAATGAAGAACATCAAACTGCGCTCATGCTGGCTGCTGGTGCCGGCCACACCGACATCGTAAATCTTCTCTGTTCCCAAGGTCCCTCCGTATCTGGTATTCTCAGAAGAGACATCCGAGGTCGAGATGCAATCATGTATGCCAGTCGTGGAGGTCATGATACTTGTTTACAAATCCTCTTGACGTGTGCTGCGGTGTACAAAGATCCGGAAGCAGTTCTTGCAAATGCTGATGTGGATGGAAACACGGCATTACATTTTGCAAGTAGTAATGGACATATGCTGGTGCTAAGGACATTGTTGGCAGCGGGTGCGAATGCAGAGATGAGAAATGTGTGGAAGTGGACTCCGATTGCTTACAGTGCTACGATACAAGCGGAAGTTTACTTTAAGAAGTTGGTGAGTGAAGTGGAGAAGAGGAAGGAGATGAGAGTGGAGGTCAAGAAAAGTCCCACCCCGTCTAGTTTTAGTTTTGGTAGAGGGGAGAAGAAGGGGGCGGGCGTCAGGATTGTGACGGTTGATGATTGATTGATGCACACACAACTTTGTGGGGATAACAACTGGACCCTGATGATTGATGAGTTAAGATGATAACGATCATGATGGTCTATATGGATGGGAAGGTAAATGGGCGCATATATGGGATTTGGTGTTTGGGATTTTATATGTTGCCTGCGCTTTTTGCATGATGGATCTGTTGAACGCGACTTTTTGAGAGACTCTCCTTTGGACAACGTGTGTATAGCATTTGCTTATGCTTACTCTAGTATTTATGTATCATTTCAAATACAAGAAATTTCAAACAGATGCCATTTTGGCACACATCAATGCAGCAATACAAGATTCAACCATCTCTCTACTGAGATGAAGATTAGTGAGCAAAAGTTTAATACCTTTCTAGTGAAAGAGGCAAAACACATGTCAAGCAGGCAGTCAATGTCCAGTAAGATATATTTCCAAATAAACTACCGAAGTTCAAACAAGAGAATTGAACGAAGCCATTCAATCAACAATGTTCAACACACACCAACATAAATTCCAAATCCACTTACAATACCAAAAGACAACATACATAACATCCACCAAACCAAAAACCGAACGCCACTCTCATCTCTACTCAAGCCCTCATCCTTGTCCCAAAGACCAACAACAAGCACCCACACCATCCATACCGGTAAAGCCATCAACCAAACCCTTCTTTCTCTTTTCTTGTCACCTTTCATCTCACCATTTACAACCACAAAACCCCCAAACTTCCCACCAACGCCAAAGTAGCAATCGTTTTCAGTCCCATATTTCCTCTCTCCTTCATGGCTCCAGAGTTGGACGTTGTACTTTCAGCAGTATTGGCGCTATCGGTTGCAGATCCTGTGGGAGTGGACTCTTCAGGACTACTAGATTCCCCAGAGTCTCCAGATCCACTTGTCTCGGTTGTTCGTCCTCCTGTCTCGGTAGGGTTGCTACTACTAGTTGTAGAAGCGAATATTGCGCAGGGGTTGGTGATTTGTTGATCTGTTGCTGTGGCGCTGAAGGCTGTTAGGCTGCGAGTGAGTTCTGGTGTTTGTTAGTTTGGGGTGGTTTAGTAGTCACTTCAACTAGTTTTGTGTTCTTGGTGGATATGATTCCAATGATCTCGATATAGGGCTGATGTGAAAGACGCGTAAAAATAACTCACCTTCTAAATTCAAGCAATCCGGTGCATTACTGCTATAACAATCTCCAACACTAGTCGCAAAGGCACTCAAAGAGCCACAGCAAGGCTGGTCAAAACTAGCAGTCTGTGTAGCGCATGCAGGGAGTCCGCTACCGGTGATGGGACATTTGGCATCGAGGGACATGAAAGATGACTTTGTTGCAACAATACTGTTAGTAACTAGACAGTTCCTAGAACAACAAACCATATGACTGAGATCGACGAAAGAGGAAATAGCAACATACAATAGGACAACCAAACACAGTCTGACCTGCAATATCACTCGGAACAAACGTAGGAAAAAGTCCTCCCCCATCAGTTACACCGCCAATTCCTGAAGCTGCTGCTGTAGTAGTCATATTTGCAGAGATTTCTTGATGTGCAATAAATTTACCTTTTGCCATGGACGTCTGGAGGGACAGTTATCCTGGGCTTATATTATCGGGGTGGTAATATTGCATTCCTGGAGTGAGGTGTGTGGAATTTGATGGAGCAAGGGAGGGGAACGCGTTGGAATTTTTGGTAATGTTGTAATCATAATTGACGCGGATATAGAGGAAATTGTGCTGTTTATTGGTAACTGATAGTAATATCGTGTATGAAATGCTGTTTCATTATGTTTTGGTAATTTGAAGGTAAATGACTGGTCATCGGAAAACTCGGGAGGAGAATTCTTTAAAGTAGAGGGGCTCTTCATTTCTATTGATAGTTTCCATCCCTAGATTAATGAAATTGATACTTGAATCCAGTGATTCACTGATTTTCAGTCCCTTATTAATGGGTTCAAGTCATTTTGATGAGCAAAATATTTTTAAAAACCAGTGTTTTCTCTGAAATTTTGGGGGTTTCCACTTTCCTCGCAGTTTGTGGCGATTCTGGACTTTCATTCCCAAGGACTTAATTAACAAATACGTTTTCTTGTAGTGGACTCTGGTTCTTTGTATCATTCCTTACGGACGGTAGTGCCGAGTTCGTCTGCAGAAGTTTCATATGAAGGATCAGGCAACTTAACGTTGAAATGACTGTATATTTTGGGTGATATGCACCAAGCCTAGTTTCTACTATCTCAAGAAACTGTTGAAAGGACAAGACTTCATTCTCCAGCATCCCGAATTCTTTACGCCTTGTTGGAATTATTGTTCACCCACGTCTTGATCCATTTTTCCAACCAGATGTTCTCGATCTTCCCCAAGTTCCGGAGCTTTTCACTCTGCATCTGCGCTCTTCCGGTTTCCCACTTCTTGCCCTCATTTTTTCTTTCTTCTGCTCTGTAAAAATGAGTTAGTTTGATTGCTGGGTTTAATTCTACCAGACGATTAAAATGTGTTTCCTTGTCGTTATTCTCTTCTATGCTGTAAAAAGGTTGCTGATCCATTGTCCCTTCCACCTTCTGGATCCAGCTCTCGAAGCTTATTTTATCAATTCCGGTTTCAGCACTGCTGCCTGAAGAGAGTAATTTTATAACTGTTGGTAGAAGATTTCCCCACTCTTCCTGGTATGGATTGAGTAAATTGAACACTTTTGCACCATCGATCTCTCTATCATGCTGTGGAATTTGGCAAAGTTCGACAAGTATCTCAGATAGAGCATCGACAGGTATCCAATCAATCCTATCCAAATCTAATCCTAGAGAATCCGGCACCGCACCCACAAAAGAAGAGGAAATTATCAAGCTTGGAAACCATTCATGTCGGCTCCATACAGATGGCCCTTGGATAGGACCGGATATCTGACCAACACGTGCAATGTTAACTTGGAGTTGAATTTTCTTGCTCGCGTAGTCCAAGATTCGTTCTGATATGTATTTGCTCTCACCGTAACCCATCGGCTCTGACGCCGAGGCATCGTGAATGATTGCTTCTGGGATCCTGCTGACTGAGTCATCGATGGAGGCGAAGCTGGATACTGCACTGACGGAGGAAATATACAAAAGTGATGGCGACCTGGAAGCTTCACTCGCAAATTTGGCCAAGTTGACGACTCCTAGAAGGTGTGGATGGTATGACGATAAATTGATATGAAAATTGACCGGCCAGGCGTTGTGTATCATTTGCGTAACATTCTGTAAAAGACCATTATAGACTTCATCCCCAAGCCCTAGCTTAGACTTTGAAAGATCGGCAGAAAGAAATGTAACACGATCTTCTGGAAATTCTGTAAGCAAGTCTCGAATCCTGTTTCTTTCAATCTGCAAAGATTTGCTGTCGGTGGATCGATTGAGACAGTAAATATGCGCAGTGGTAGCTGTAGTCAAGAGTCTCTGTAAGATATAAGAACCTAGCCCACCTGTCGAGCCTGTGAGAAGAATACCCCCACTCTTTATTCTTGGCGATGAAACAGGACTATATTCCAAAGGAGGAATACCATCACTTAAGCCGCAATAGTCCGCAAGTAAATGTTCAATATTCTTCACACGTGCTTCTTCGGCGATTAGCGGCGGGCCCAGATCTTTTCCTTGTTTCAAGGAATGTTGCAAGACTCGGGCGAGTGATATAAGTGATGGATTTGAATAGATATCGTTGACGACCAATTGCGGAAGATTGAAAACGCGCTTCAGATTGCGTATAAACATCAAAGCTTGTAATGAATCCATGCCATTATGAAAAAATTGTCTTCGGCGTCAAAAGTCAAGCCTGTAAGTGTCGAGATAGTATTCTTCAGATACGAGATCAAATTCTCAAAGTTATGAGGATCTACGTGTGGGATTAAAGTCGTACTGGACTCGATTGAAGTTTGGTCCGCAGTTTCATAAAGTGCATCAAGCTCTTCTTTGTACTGCGCCAGGGTAGCTGCTCTCATAATGGTCCCTTTGGGTGTTCTGATCATAGGACGATCCGATGAAACGAAAAGAATGTGAGATCTAGCTATTCTCGCATGCGTTGGGCATGTTGCATTTGCCTCTTCGATCGAAGGCCACATAGTTTCCACTAGGTCAAGTCTACGCGCGAGCGTTAATTCCTCTTTACTCGTGACTTCCAATAACAGCGAGGTTTGAAAACGTTGAGAGCCGGCTACTATCACCCCACTTATCTCTCGGTGACTAGATAGGATATGTTGCTCAGTAGGAACAGGGTATGTTTTCTCTCCATTTACGAGAACGATGATGTCATCAGATCTTCCATAATGACTCCAGCGGTTCGGCTTCGAGGAGTGAGGAACAAACAAATCGCGAGTCTGGTATTCTTGAAGATCAGGAAACGTCTTGAAGATTTGCTGATGATTTTCAAAGTTCTTTTCGCGGACAATGAATAATTCGTACACTGTGTCGTTATAAGGGCGAAATTCTACTCCTGCGCTGGGATGTATATGAAGATATTTCCAATATTTCCGTGTCGTTTCTTCAGTTGAAGAGATCAAAGGAAGACTTGCGCCTTCAGTGGTTCCATAAAAATTGATGAGTTTCACCCGAGATGCCACGATATTGCCACAACCAAGAGGTAGATCTCCTCCTGAATATACTACAGTATCGAGATTGGTAGAAATATGTTCTAAGAGCTCTGGCGACTTGCTAATCTCCTCCAAGATTGGTGGCACGACGAAAGCAACATCAATTTTGTTGTTTTTCAATGCCCCGGATAAAGATTGTGCTGAAGATATTGCAGCTTGTAGTGGGAGAATCACGGAACTTTGGAATGATATTCCATTTACAATCACATGCGCGATGTAGGCGGCCTACGTCTGTGTATCAGCCAGGGTCAAATTTAGTTCATCATTAGTAAGGAAGATACATACATGAAAAGGAGGAAACATCACAAAGATCCGATTTCCCTCGTACATTTTATCTACATTTTCGAACCCTGCTGGAGGGCTCAATGATAATGACGTTGCGTAGGCTGCACAGAAGCCATTCGTTCAGCTGATGGGCTTAGGAAAGCCAGTTGACCCTGAAGTGTGCATGACGAGCAATGGTTCATCACAAACTTCATCGAAGGTCTCGTCATATGGATAGTGTGTTGAGGGAGTGGTCAAAAGATCTTCAATAATTGGAATCTCCAGTGTTTGCAGTGCAGAACCGGCAGCAGCTAGAATTGCTGTCGCGGATGGTAGTGGTTGACCAGAAGTAATGAAAGTTTTACATTTTGCAACCTTTATGAGATCAAGCTGAGCAGCGACACTATTTCGTGGCGATAGAAGAAGCACCTAGAGAGAAATGTTCAACAGAAGATCGAGATTTATCTTTACGTCTTCTTGCCTTGTACCCGGCTTTGGCAGCTCCGAAGATGAGCGATGGGTAAATGAGATTATTGGGGCCAATGTAAGCTAGAGTTTCGAGTTCTTTTCCCGCCCCAAGATTATTATATAAGCACCATGCAATTCCGTTAATAGTATTAGCAAAATCTTTATAGGTGACTTTGCGAAAGCCTTCATCATAGGTCACTGGCGAGATAGGAAACTCGGCGTACAGAGCTTGCGGCATTATTTTGGCCATATGGTCAATGATATGTATAAGAAGAGTTTTCGCTTGAGGCAAAGGGGCTCCAGCTCCATTGATCGCGTGTGAAGTCATGATGTTGGATGATATCTTGTGATACAGTGGTCTTGATAGAAAGCCGAAGGAAATAATAGATTATAGGCAGCTTTATAGATAAACGGAAAATATATTAGTAGTCTGAATGGAGGAACCAACAGTTGGTATGTAAATCTAGTAAGCTCGAATTAGAAGGACCATCAAAAACCAACAACTTTGAGTGCTTTTGGCTGCTACCCTGGCATGTAGGATAGCCTAGATAGCCAGACGATCCCCAGATTAAGGGATAGCTCTACAAGCTAGAACTAGCTTAACACGTACCTTCCAACAGATGTAGACTTAGTAAATTTGTACATTTGTGTCAGAACGTTGTCAAGAGAACGCATGAAAGACACATTAAGTAGCACAAGGTCCGGCCTTCCTATTTATTGGTAATACTAATCTACAAACATTACGAATACAAATGCAGTACCTATAGTAAGGCGTCTTTTTGCAACAAATAGTGACAAGATTCAACGTTTCAGTGTAAATTGTAGATCGCACAATCGTATTATCGCACAATCTAGTCATTTGATTGGTCTATAGAGTCATTCAAATAACACTCTGAAACAATTCTGTAGACTATATTAATGTTCAGCAAACACTCATTTGGATTATCAACATCATCAACATTATCCAAAAAGTCGACTCGAACATGCTCTTAGTAAAGCGTAGATACATTGATCAAGTCAATATGATACTTTAAAATAATAAGTTATTCGTATTCACTACGACAGGAACTAAATCGAAGGATGGCCATCAGCATCTGCGGAATCAACACAATTACCATGAAGTCCCGTCCTCAATCTGATGGGCAATTTGACCAATGCGACATGTTTACTCATATCGGCGGTATCTAGAATCACCAGCTCGCTTGTCATCTCGGCATAGTTGTTGAGTAGCGCCATCACAAACCCATCGCACTTTTTCGCTCCTTTGTCTCGTGGAATAAAGACAGGTTCTTGGCAGAGCTTGTGGGGGCCTGCAAAGTATTTCTCGTACTTTCTGGTCTTGGTATCGTAAAGCCCAATGCTGTTATAAAGAGGGTGGCCACCTGAAAGTAACTAGTCAGTACCGCTTGATGACCTTTTGAACGAATTAGGGGGAAGACAAACCGCCAAGGTTTGGCCCAATGACCTTCATGTCTGTTCCAGCTGCGGGGTCCATGACATTAAACAGCGCCTTGGTGAAGGAGGTTGATACGTATCTGTCATCAATGCGCGGGAATTCCATGTCCTCTTCTACCATTTTCGTGGACACTTTCAAATCCAAATCAGGAGACTTGTAGTCGATACTGAAACTCACAAAGTCGCATTGGGCTTCTCCCGGGCTCGGGGCGTCTCCATTCTTGTCAGCCCACCAGACAAATACATTCTTTCTTGAGTACGCCATTGAGAGGACGATGTGACCATTCTCATCTTCGGGAGCGTTAGCGACATGCCCCGCAAACCCGTGAGGTGCGCGGAACCACTAAACGAGATTGATTAGCGAAATGCAGAAGTTACCTGGCAAAATACACACCTTCACGTCTGATCCACTGGCACCTCTTCGGGGCAGGACACGATGTGCATTGGAACCTCGCTGTCCCATTGCCAGTGCTCCCCCCCCCCCCCCAGCTTTCAAACGATCCAAATCGCAGATGTGAGGAATCATAGGGAAAATAACCTGAGTAAAGTTAGACAAGCCCCTGTTACCTGCGTAAACAGCCTTAGGGGGCTTGGGCTTCCTGATATTGTCGATGTGGTGAACTTACGTAGTTTTCAGTAATACCAAAGTCGTGAAACATGCCACATATTGGGGCCAGTAGCCAGACAGTCTCGTTGAACGAGCCATTGGCATCAATACTGTAGTAACAAACGTCTAAAGTAGCATCACCTTTCGCCTCGTAGCCAAAGCAGACCATTTCCCTGGTTATTGGATCAAACTTAGGATGGGCTGTAAATGTCAAACTGGTAAGTTGACCATTAAAGTCCCAGAGACCAACTGTCTCAATTGTTTCCGGGTCCATGGCGTATGGAGGAGAGTCTTCCTTCAGAGCAAGCAACTTGCCATGCCAGTAGACGACGTTAGTATTTGCTGTAGATTTGATTTCAAGTGCTACGGCGTCTGTGTATCTATTTCGATACTTTCCTATTTGATAATCAAATCAGTAAACCCATCTCACTACAAGATCATACTCCCATGGTGTCTCAATTCTTTGCTTGGAGATATCGACAGAGTCACTGAACAAGTTTAATGTTCTCGATCGTTGGTAGGACGTCATGGCATATGGCGGTAGTGGAAAATTGATGGATTCCTTACCAGCTAGAGCTCGCCGTGCAGCAGCCTCACGTGTGAATTTCTCGGTACGAACATATCTTTGCTTCAGGTCGATATGGCCGTCAGCAATTCGAAAGGCACTTGCATTTCCGTCGCCATTGAACCACTATAACATGTGAGCTTGATATTAAGGGAAAGCTGTGCCATTATGGAATATGGACATCGTATTGAGATTCAATATCCTCGAAGAGATAGTAGAAAAGCACACTCACAGGATCACCGGGCAAGTAGTTTGGAAATTGTGGCTCGGGCATAACACGATAGAATGTCCCACGAATCTGAGATGGGATACTTCCCTCAATTTCCAGATTATTTATCTCACCCTCGAATCGTACAGGGCGCATGAACCCAGAGAATTGCGGTTCATTGAAGGCTTTAGGAGATAGGGGTAGCGACTTGAATCCATCGCTGTTAGAAGCACGTTCGGCGAACATTTCTGGTGTTGCTTTATAGTGACCTGCCATTGCTAAAGTTCTTTTGGAATAGGAATTCGATTGAGGATTTCTGAGTCAATTGTTGCTTTATCAAGCTTGATAGAATAATTGGTATGCTGATGGAGAAGAAATTGGGACGTGTTGACACTGCTATTAAATAGAGAGCTCTGCACGAAAAAAAGAATTCCTACGACATTATTCTCAAGCCTTTCTGCATTCTTCCTCCCTATTCGGCGCATTCGCTCGTCTAATTACCGCACGCATCAGCCGTGAGTGCGACAAGTCGCCAGCTTACGCAAGTTGTAACTCAAAATCATTGATGATTTCCTTTGTGGGGTGCGGGGAGGCCTCCCGCAACCTTCCCACTAGGCTGAGCGGAAATTAATCATATCTGCGAATATCCGTAAACTGCTCCGTTCTGTAAATCTTCTCCCTTATTACTCCTGTGACTAGGAAATATGCAATCCTCCACCCAAACCTAAATATGAGCCACCAACCATCTCGTATTTTACCACCTAATGAGACGTGTCTGTGAGTAGAGTGTGTCAAGCTTTCTGACCCCACGAGTATCAAGTAACCCGTGGGTCCGTTTTAAAACCGTAAACTCCCCTGCAGATGAAAGGTTCATCTCACCGTCACCAGAAAATGAAGATATACTATAAAATGATTGAAATATCCAATAAAACTAAGGGGAAAAGAGGGAGAGGCAAGCGAATAGAAAAAGAAAAGAGGCCTAATCGTACTTTAAATCACTTGCGATAAGATTGGAAGGTTCACTCACTCGTAATAGATATCGCATACAACTTATCTGTGAATAGCTTCTATTGAAGGATTAAAGAAGTGGAAGTGAAAGAGAAAGTGGCCAATCACATAATTGACCGCTTAAAGCACGGTTAGCCTTAATTTGAAGCAATTGAATCACGATCTCGACGATTTATTACAGTTTCCTTGATTCTGTAGATCTTTGTACGAGGTCAACTGATTCATACAACGAGATGCCATACTCCCAATCTCGGGCTTTCACTTGGTCAGTTTTTCCCATCGGAACCTGAGCGTACGATTTTGTGGTTTCACAGCGCATCCAGTGGGAGATTCTTTTTGCCTGTCGACTTGTGGAACCAATGGTCACATTGATAAGGGTCAACAGTTTGTTTACGAAAGTAACGATTCCGGGGAGTAGCTTTTAAGATCGCATGCGTCCGGATTTTTTGTGGCATGGGACCAGGACAAGTTGGACATCTGTTGGACATACGTCGTGGACACCCAAAACATGAAGCCAAAAAAAAAGAGATAATGCGGGAAGTCCATCATAGTGAGCAACCCAGATTCTATCATAGCTTCTCCTGGTTGAGTGAGCCAGTTGTCGTTGGAAAAAATAAGGGAACTATTGTTTTTCGCCGAAGAAAAATTATATCCAGCGCGTATCGAAAAATACACTCTATATTCTAAGATTAATTCGATCCCGCCATGATAATCTAAGTAGACAACTCTTTATCCTGTTTTTAATTGCGCTATACCTGCGAGTCTAGGGAATAGCTTGTGCGCGTTTTTGTAATAGATCAATTCCCTCGTCTCGTCGCTGAGCTTGTACTCGTCCAGCTGTTTTGTAAACATCTCTCCCACGACCGCAGGTGCGTACGGAAAATCACACCCATACAGGATATGATCGTGAGGAATGTGATTAAGGAGGGTATCGAGAACGTGGCTAGAACTGCTAAGTGCAAGGTCATAGTAAAAGCTTTCGGCGTCCTCCATGACCGATTCGGCTGATTTGCTTCCTCGACTTGTCATACCTATGACACTGGATGCACGGAGCAAGAGGATTGGAAGCGTTCCTCCAGCATGCGAAAGAATGACCTTACAGTCTGGAAAGTCACGCTTCGTGTTGGTGCTGATCATGTCAAACGCGGTACGAGCCGTCTCGTGTGGATAATCAATAACGGGTTGTGGAAGAATAGGATTCCATATGTCAGTATTGAGCGAGTGGGTTGGATGGACGAACACGACAGCTTTGCGGCGGTTTAGCTCCTCCCAAATAGGACGGAAGAGCTTGTGACCGAGATAATAATTGCCATTTCCATACCGGGTAAACAGCGTGATACCATCAGCCTTGAGCACATCCAACGCGTAAGCTATTTCTTCAATAGCAGCCGTCGTCTCATGTAGTGAAGGAACCGCAGCGAAGAAACCCACTCTGGGGTTTTCGTCTCGAAGCTTTGCAGCAGTCTCATTTACTGATCGTGCAAGCTTTGCTTGTTCCTCGAGTGGTACGATATGTACCCCAGGAGCTGTCAAAGACAAGATAGCCGTACCCGAGGCTGTTTTTTCCATCTGCTCAAAGGTCGCCTCGATAGACCATTTTGGAGTAGGGAAGCCAGACGGGTCGCCACCAGCAGCTTCTAGAGCTAGAAGCAATCGATTAGTTCTGCTCCACAACACAAGATGAGAAATGTCATGTGCAACTAGGTTACTTGCCATTTGCATAGAGGGGAGGAACAAAATGGTGGTGGATATCGATTTTTTGGGCGAATGTTGGTGACATTGTCACCATTAACGTTGTTCAACAAATGTGAAGCAAATGCTCGCGGGGGTATTTTTGAAGAAGATAGTGTGGCTTGAAATAGCAATAGATTAATAACTACAACCTTGAAACACAGAACGAGGGGAGATACATCACTGACCTGTTGAACAAAAATGTTAGAGGGGCTGGATATGATGAACAAGATAGAATGAGACCAAGCTATAAGTCTTACCAAGTTCGGGGAGAAAACGTGGTGGGGGGAAAATACCCGCAACTTTAGTGACATTTCTTGCTTACCGTGTAAGGTTAATAGATATCGCTGGGCACCTGCGCAAACTGATATGTATCTCAAAGAGCCGCAAGTTCATGAATCAAGTGTCAGAAAGCCATTGTATCAAAGAGTGCATCAGTCACTTGCGTGGTTTGAATCCCCTTTTCCCACTCGAAGTAAGTGTTCGGCCCAATTAGGCAAGCCCTTGAGAGGTGGCAAGATGAAGGAGATTGATAGAGGCATTCTGGAAAACTTTCGGGATGCCGAGTGTGTCAGTGGCCTTGAGTCAGCTGTGCGGATCCATCTTTTGAGTACGCTAGGTTGGAGATCAACTCAGCATGGTGGTACGTGTCATGTCGTTCATGGCAAGCAAATGCGTCAGAGGCCAACAAACTAATTTCTGGGGATAGAAATCAAGATGGCTCAGCCATCCCCTGGTCAGTCTTTTGATCAAACACCGCCAAGTCATTGTAGATCGTATTATATCCTACAAGGCATTAACGCAATTGACAGAGATGACGAAACGTACATTCTCGGGAGATCCAGATGCTACATCGACAGAATCTGGTCACGTGTGTAAGTATAAAAGCTTGTATTCCGCTAATATTCCAATATGTCTATGGCGACAAACAGTGACGAAATCCATACCTTTAGCTCTAACTCCTGAACATATGAAATGCTTTTCCCATCACTTCTCCCATTCTTTCAACTCCTTATCTCGCCAACCTCACCGAAATAACAGAGAAATAATTCTTCCCATAATAAACCTCGGAAATCTCCAACGTCTTGTCCGCACCCCTTATCAACCCGGCAAACTCTTCCAGGGTCCTCTCCTTTCCACCCACACTAATCATCATAGCAATATCTTCTCTCCTTAACATCTTAGTCTTATATCTTGTATCACTGCTATTCCAAACCGGCATTAGTTTCTCGTTAATAAGTAATCTTGCTTTGGGGTTATGTTCGAGACCGGGTATCACGGCTTTGATCATCTTGATACAGTCATCATCTGGATTATTATGGAGACAGCGGCGTAGTATAAAAGCATCCGCATCGATTCGTGTTTGAGGGGTATAGTAATCGTGAGATTCGAATTCGACGCGGTCGTAGAGGGATTTCTCGGTAGGAGATAAGGAGGCAACGCGTCGAATTTGATCGGCTGTTACTTCGGGGAGATCTTGACTGACGATATGAAGATGCGGAAATTTCTATATTGTTGTTAGTTATGGGACTACTAGTAGAGGAAATGAAAGCTCATACCTTTGCCAAATGGACAACCAAGTGTCCGGCACTACCGCCGATATCCACGATCTTGTTAAACTTCTCCCACGGAAAGATGACGGAAAGATCTTCAATCTCTTCAATGGAGGAAATGGCCATTAACTTGGCCATACGTTCTCTACCAGACTTGGCAATCTTCTCAAAATATTCATACATAGGCATTCCGAATCTAACTTCCCAAGCACTTCTCTTCCCCGTATCAATAGCATCCAAAAGACTCGAGGATGCCTTGAAAACTCCATTGAGGAAACTCCCTAAACGAGCAGGAACCATTTCATCTACCATACCTGCTGACAAAGGAGTATGGCAGAACACCTTTTCGTCTATTTCGAGAAATATTTTATTGGTAGCAAGAAGACGCATGATACGAAGTAAGGTATCTCCCCGTATCTTAACCGATTTAGATAAATCTTTGACATGTATCGAAGCACTCACGGTATCTTTCCCATTGATTGGAACATGTTGGAATACATCGTGGAGAAGGGCAGTCTGAAGAGCTGCGAAGTCCGGAGGAGCGAAAAGTGTTCCGGCCCATCGCATAGGACCCACGAGATCCGCTCGCATATCATCTAATGCATCGATAAGTTTTTCGAATGCCTCTATATCCTCACTGCCCTCTTTCCGCGCATTCTGAACCTCGGACGCCAACAATTTTATCGAGGAAGCGAGAGATTCGAGTGATTTTTCTGTCATTGTGATTGATGTCTTTGTGTCAATTGAGAGGTTTTGCAACTGGCCTCGAGGAAAATGAGGACATGATCCTACTGGTAGTATATACTCGAGAAGAATCCGATAAGTTTGGTATTCAATAAAAACTCGCGAAGATGTCTAAGCTCATGTAGTATGAGACTGAAACCACAACATAATTGACAAATTCTGCGTTACCCATCTAAGACCTGTTACTCGGATTAACAAGATTTCCAAATGAGGGTTCCGATGTTTTCCGAAAACTTCAATATGTCTATATAATTTCTGAACACGTAGAGGAGCTATCTGGCATGTACAACACTCGGACGTGTTGATGGTACAATCATGGCGGGAAGGTGGAGAACCAGTCTACTTTGTCATATATCTTAAGGAACAAATTAAGTTAACACTGTCTCTGCTGCATCAAGAATATCATCTGCGTGAAACTCAAAATCTCTCTCTGTTCGATCTAGCAAAAATGGATATCATCCATATCGCCATGAGTTCCACTTGGATAAGTCTTTGCGTTACCACTCTCTTCTACATCGTCCTTCGCTACCTCTACCGAATCACATTCCATCCACTCGCATCATTTCCCGACCCCAAGCTCACAGTCATAACCCTCTGGTACGAATTCTACCATGACTTCTCCACCATGGCCGATACATCTCCCAAATCCAAGAAATGCACCCAAAATACGGACCCATCGTACGGGTAACCCCTGAGGAACTCCACGTCAACGATCCATCATTCATCCCCAAATTAATGCAAGCAGGTGACCGTCGCCGCAATAAATGCGTACGATTAATGCAAATGTTTGGGCTTGTGAAAGCGAGCGCTGCAACGATAGATCATGATTTACATCGAATAAGACGCGGCGCCATGTCGAATTTTTTTTCTCGAAGGAGTCGATTTGGAGAATTAAACCGATTCTCAAAGACATAAAACAACTTCCATATTTGAGTGCGGTAATTCAAAAAGGTTTTAGAATAGCAATAGGTGCCAGCAATCGACAAACAAGAAACGCACCTTACCAAATCATGAAATATGACGATGGGAAGAACGTCTGGTTTATCCCCCCGGTGTAAGTTGCTCATATCTACAGATCTAACAATTCGGCAAATAAAAAAACTACAATCGCAATGACAAATAACAATCTCCAACCTACTAGAGCCATGAATCCCTCTATGATCCAGTAAACACCCCCTCCTCTCCAGCACATAAGCTCAAGACCAAACAAAGCCCACAAGTTCACAACCAATGGTCTCAGGGACGTCATCATACATTCAAACTCCTTTCCATCCATCGAACTATAGATCGAAGTAACCAAACAAAACCAAACACCAAACACCCAAGAAAAAATATCAAAATTTGATCATTTCTGCGAGTCCAAAAACTGTATGTAACTCACCCCGAAAATCTCCCCCCTTCCAAAAATGTCGAAAAATTCCCGAGACAGCGAGGCTAGAGGAATGGATCCTTCATATATTTCCCTCCCTACAATACTCTCATCTACATTCAGAGCAGAGGATACTCACCCACGGAAAAAGTACCACCCATCTACCCACCGGCTAATGAAATACTTATATATCTTATCATATCTCCTCGAAACCGCGAGAAAATTATCGTGTCGGGGATGTCATGGGGGTAGATCATATACCTACCAATGGTTATTCATCAAAGAAATAGGAATATGAATGTTGAGCTCGCTTGGGAAAGGAGAGGACAGAAGATAAGATAAGTTTTGGTATCAACTTGGTTGATAAGTGTAAGTACTTTAGTCTATTGTGGTTGTATTCGTTTTTAATCATTATTATCTATGGGAAGCTAGTACTTAATATAGGGAAGCGCTAGCGCGACGCTAGCTAATACAGTGCCTTCTTTGATCACATGATTGATGTCCCGACAATAAGAACAGATCAGATGAAGAAGAACGAGATGGAATGAAAGGGAGGCAATGCTATAAGATTCAAATTGTTTTATATGACGACTGAAATAATCTGTACTCACAATGTCAAAATCTCATCTATACCCCATAATACACAAGTACTTATTCAAATACCAACCTACTCATCTACCTACCCACCCAGGAAATCAGCCCCTCAAAAATAAACATTTACCCCTATTACCTACCTCCTACCTCTTACCTCCTACCTCCTCCTCAAATACCCTTAAACACCACCCACCCATCTCATCTCTTCCACCCCTCTCATCCCTTCCACCCCTCAACACCCTTCCACAACAAACAAACTCCCCGACTCACCACTCACCACTCACCACTCACCACTCCTCAACTCCCCTCCAACTTACCAATCTTAAATCAATCTCTCCACCCTTTCCACCCTTTCCCCCCTTTCCCCCCTTTCCCCCCTTCCCAACCCACAGTCCCAAACAAATTATCACAACAATGATCCAAAAAAACTCAATCTTACCACTTCGACCTTCTACACATACCGAGACATACACATTTACTATAATTCACTTCATTCACATCAATCCATCTACCGAGTATTGATCTGTCAAGAAACCCGGCTCGACTTGTGTAACAATATTGATTGATTGATAGATAGATAGATTGACTGGCTGACTGGTTGGATGTTTGTTTATACCTATCTTCCTATTCATCTAGGTGAATTACCTTCCCATCTCATTCAAGCTCCATTCTCATTCTTAATCACTATCCCCCTCCCCTCCCCTCCTCCGATCCCCCCAATCTCCCCAAACAACCCCAAAACCATCAACACGCCGTTGAAATCTCCAAACGCCATTCGAGACTCATATGTCATTCCATTCAATCACCCTTGAGTCTCGCCTCCAAGTAAGTAAGTATGCATCTTGAATGACATTTGATTCCATTCAAATCCATGCGCATAAGTATACGTAACCCACCAGTGAGTGCACGGACTCACGGGACAGTCTATATAACTTCAAAAAACCCAAAATAAGATAATATTACAATTAAATAACTAATAACTATCACAATTCTAATTGTACATATTCCTTATTAGTATTAATAAGAGTTCTATATTTACTAGGTAATTCGGTATATCTTTTTTGAATTTTCTTTTATATAATTTTATTTTATTCATTCTATATAATCTCCTTTAACTTTTTCAATATTTTTTATTATCTTTTTCGAATTTATTATTTTAATATATTCCAAATATTTTTTATTGAATTCAAATTGAATAAATTAAGAAAATAAAATAGATTTTCAATATTGTATATATTTCTAAGTTCTTGTATAAAATTATATTTAAGGAATTTATAAGAATTATTATTATTTTCTATTAAAAGCTATTTATATATAGAATCCTTTGCTTATAGTTTTTCAATAGCTTTTATATGTGTCAAGGTACGGGTAAAGACTTATATTGTACCATAAGGGTAGAAGGACTATGGAAGGAAGGGACCCTACTTATAAGAAGTAAGGTGCGCTAGTTGTGGGAGCCTTAGGCACGAAGGCAACTAACGAACAGGTAGTTGGCGCCGTGACAATATGAATAGAAAGTAGTTGTTTTATATAGTATTTTTATATTATAATATTATTTTGAGGTTTAATATTCTTAAAATATAATTTATTATTCTTTTATATATAAATTCTTTCCTTATATTCTTTAGAACTTTCAATTCTGAATTATTTTTTAAACTTAAATATAAATATTGATTTATTTGTATATTTCTTTTCATTATAATAGAATTCAAGTTTTTTAGCTTTTTTTTCGAAAAAAACTTATATTTTATAATGGATTTTGTTACCTTTTAATAAAGAATATTCTATTATATTTTCTGATTTATATTAAATTCTAGTTTTTCTTAGAATTTCTTTTTTTTTTATAAAAGCAAGATCCATATATATTTCGTTTGTATATACAATATATCTCCAAAATCCTTTTATAATATTATACTTATAAATATTATCGAAAATAATATGTTTTCCATAATTTATATTAATAAAAAGCTTTTCTGAATAGATAGCTTTGTAATACTAATCTTGATTTATAAATTTCTTCAAATTTTTCTGTAAAAAATATTGTTTTATCCTTAATTGAAAATATTTAATTATTATTTTGTAAGTTTTAATTTGTAATTTGTTTTGAAAGAATAAAATAAATATTTTACAAATATTTTTATTAATTAATATAAATCTCTTTAAATTCTTTGAAAACTTACAAATCTACTTATATATATCTTTTCCTAATAAATCTTTTTCTTAAAATTATTAATAAATTATAGATTTTAATATATCTAATCAAACTAAAATAGAATATATATTTTCTTTTATATAACATTAATCAAATTCTTTATAAAATACTAATTTTATTAGTAAATTATATTCTCTATATAATTCTCTATTAATAAAAATAATCTTATATTTAATTGATTATATATTTAATAATATTTCGAAATTGAATTAATTATTTATAATTTGAATTGTTTATTTTGAGGGTATTTTCAAAAAAGCGCGTGTCCCGTCAGTCCGTGCACCCACTGGTGACCGAAACCGATTTTATCCCCCTTTCACAAAATCCGTATCATTTTACAAAACAAAATGTTTGCCTCATCATGCCCACACATCGAAATCCACACCCAGAAATACAGACTAAACCCACCAAACTCCCAATGCCAATCCATTTTGTATGACCCAAAAGCATATTGATGCTCTATCCTATAGCCACCTTTTAACCCTCTCTAAACAGTAGGTCTCTTGAAAGGATGTGCTTCCGTATTCAAAACCCACTCATCAAGACTAATAACATCTGGCGTAGAGAAAAGTAAATAGAAATATTTGAGCGTTTCTGCCAACCAAAAACTTTCCATCTCATCCATTTGATACGTCTCTTCTGCTGTAACATCAAAGATAGCCGAATGACCATTCTCAGTTGATGTTGCTTTGATGACTGCTTCAAACATCTTCCAACCTTTGTCTTGCCAGGTCTTATCACCCGTGATACGGTACATGTACCAGACAGATTCGATGGCTTCGGGTCTAGATATTGACATTAGTATCCTGTTACTAAAAAATATTTGAGTGAAAATTTACCTAAGAATGTATTTCCTGGTATGTATACTTGTGAATCCAGGAGGTAAAGCTTCTTGCTTGATACGACCTTCAACGTATTCCTTGTGAGAAAGTGGGCGTAATGGATCTGGTAATGTTTCTGCAGGGAGTGGTTTTTGTGATTTGGTACCCTTCTCCAATTGACGTCCTCCAGCCATACTTTCCAATTCCTTTTCCGTGTTTGCGGATTTCAGCTTAAACATGTCCTCCTTTTCAGGACCATCAGCGGCACCAGTCTGGCGCTTCGTGAGCGATGCAGGTTCATCCTTTGGCTTGAAGGCACTTGCGTCTTCGGATTTTGTCTCTGCTGAGTCTTTTACTAAATCAGGACTATCTTCGTGACTGACATAACCTTGAGGTCCACCAACAGCCTCTGCTTTCGCCAAAGCGTTCTGCTCACGTGCAGCATCTGTGGGGTTTAAACTCATCTCCTTTGCTTCGGCATCAAGTTTCTCCTTGTTTTCGATATACTCCTTAAGATTCGCATCTCTGTAGGCAGCTGAAGTATCCAAGCGTTCATAATAGAGGGTTTGATTCCAAGAGCAATTTTCAACACTCTCGCATGCAATAACTTCTGACCCTTCAGGCATAATTCCTGATGGGGTTGCACCATACGCCCAAACGCAACCATCTGTAAGTTTCTTTGCAATCTCGAGATCTCCTTCGATGCCGAAAACCTTCGCACTCATTCCAACCATACCTCCAATGAAACATGTTAAATGTGTAATCTCTGGAATCAATAGATCTTCTTCCCGTATGCCATTGCTCGTGACTTTTCCAGAGATAAGAATGTCGTCATTTCCTGGAATCATTGGCCGAAAGAGCATATGCTCCCGTATGGCAGGGATGGTCTTCATGTACAGTTTTTTGTAGACTTCGTCAAGACCACCTAAAAGCATATATTGCTGTAATTGTGTTAGCTATATAGAATGATTTCACGAATTTGGTCCATACCTTGGGGTAGTACTCATACGTGGAATCTTGCCCACCACCCATCGAGAACTTCTGTCTACCGTGAACGGTATACGACTCCAGACCTTGCTCGACGCAATCCCATTCACTTGATGCCTCAACTGTTGGTAGGTCTGGCGCAACGTGATGACTAAAACCACTGCCAGTTCTACTTACTGGAGGAAGACCTGCTGCTGGCGCAGGTGGTGAAGATGCCGTAGTCGAGCTAGTTGATGCTGGTTCTTCCAGATCTCTTTTCATCACGCCTCCTTCGTCCCACCCCTTGATGCGCGCTTTTCCAGGCTCACCCGGAAGAACTTGCATCTCCAACATCTTTTCTTCCGAGCTAGGCTTCTTTGGCTTGGGCTCCTTTACGTTTTCTGGTGAAAGCGGTTGATATCCTTCAGGAGATTCATCCAAAAGTGTAGTCGTCTTTGGATTGTTGAGAGCGAAATCCTTTGCCAATGAAGCCTCCAACTTCTCCTTTTCTCTTTGCATGGTGGCCGTACGATTACAACCTGAAGCATCGACATCCTCTGTGAAAACTCCGGGAATGTTAGTTGTATTACGATCCTGCCACTCCGATAAAGCAATGGTGACTCGAGCTACAGCATCATAGTAACGTTGTTCGCCTGTAAGTTGAGCAAGACGGGTAAACTCCATAGACAGTGATCCAAGTTCAGCCAAATTAGATCTGGAACTGGCACGATGAGGCTGAGACGCAAAGACTGGCTTCCATTGATAGTGAAGTACCGGCATTCTGTTTGGGGTATCAAAAGCGCCCATCAATATCTCCGCCAATTCAGTAGCTTTATCCAAGAGAACCTGGAATTTTCCTCCACTAACATCATATGCAGCTAAAAGACCACCGAGATATCTAATGGTAGTTTCAAATACTGGTATTTCCATCCTTGGAGTAGTGGTGAAATCAATCTTTTCAACAGCATTAACAGCCTCTTCGAATTCGTCATGAAATCCCATAATATATAATGTATCCAAACCATCCACCAAAGTTGCTGCCCATCCGCAAAATGGATCTCGAAATTTAGTTGACACGGGGGAAAGTTCGTCATGACCCCATGCAAACTTCTTGTAACCTTTCCATGACCTCAGAAATTCCTCCTTGACTTTATTTTGCCTCTTCTCCCGAGAGATTTTTGCATCCGTTGTCTCGTCATTGAAAACATGTTGAATCTTGGGAATCGAGATTGGCACGCCAGTTGGCAGATTGATAATACTTTCAGTAGGCACTGGGAAATGCTCTGCTTGCTTCGACCAGTAAATTGTAGTAGGTGCTGCTGAGAAAACAGGCAAGTCCTGTCTTCCATCTGGCGCAATTGGATGAAGATCTTCAAATCCTGTATCCTCGTAGACACCTTGGGTTGGTGGTTTCCTGTCTGGAAGAGCGTATTTCGGCACAGTTGTATCTATTGTTTGAATGGCAATAACATTCCAAGTAGTCGATGTACTGCTAGTTGTGGAGGATGTCTTTTCTGCTACCTTTGGTGCCGGTTTAATTTCATCCTCGGCAGGCTTCAATGGCGCTTCTGATTGTTCTTTCAGAGTTTCCGGTGCAGTCGGATGACCTCCATTTGGTGTATATGTGTATGGTTCTCCCTTTTCTGATGCGAATTTCGAGTCAGGGATGTCGACAGGGCCTCCTACAGTATAACTTTCCCAATCCCTTATGTGTGTAAAACGAACGAGAATGGCTGTTATGAAGACAGCAAAAATAAGGAGAGCTCGGTATCTGCGAATTCGCAACATGATGCGATTTGCTTCTTCGTGGTCTCTCGACCAGAAGTTGAAGCAATTGAAAAAGAAAGAGTGGTGGTACTTGGGGGGTTAGAGGTTGTGTCGCGTGTTCAGCGTGGAATAAATGTTGATAGGGTTTGAACCAATAATATCCTCATCACGATTCCAAGCTATTAATACAAGTAAGGACTTTGACTCTTCATAGGTATTGTGATTGTGTCTTAAAGAATGTTGGTGACGAGTACTTTACTCCAATAGGAATGATCTGATCGAATCCTATTGTCCGTCGTGTGAGTGTATAGGTATAGTCCTTGGGTCCTCGAGGGATTGTCTACTTTGTAGTTGCTACATTACATTACTTGTACTCTGACTTCTCATGTACGGAGTAGCACCCACACCCACACCCACACGCTCATAGCTCTTGGCGTTTGTTATAGTTCTTTTAAAGTTCAGTGGATCTATCGAGAACAATTGGAGCAAGTGGAGGTCATGGACTCAAGGTAAGATAAATATTGCTTTTGACAGGTCTGACTTGTGGTGCTGAGATCTCAAGCATCCAAATGTGACAAATTAGGAAAGGGGAGATCTTGATGTGGGGATTGAGGTGTATCAGCTGGAATTTTAGGGGCCGCCATGATTCTGACCTAGGACCTGTATCTTCAATATCTCCGTGAAAGGAGTGAATGATGAAACTATTAATAATACTCAGGTACTTAGATATATACACTCGCAGTTCTAAAGAAGCCGACTCCCAATCTTCCACTCCTCCAATCTAATCTTCACACCTCCCATCCCATCCGTCCAACCCAGCGAATACGAGAAGCTCTACTATATATCCCATCAACTTGGTCCCGATTTTCCAGCGAACACAGATCATCCCATTCGGGAGACGGCCACCTATGCCGCAAATCATCCAAAACATCCACTGCCACTTCTTGGCACGGCAGAGCTGATCCGAAACAAATATCCATCTAGCTCAAGACAAGAAATGCGGAGAAACTCAGCCCTCTGAGGCATAATTATTGTAAACTACCTGGCTACATAGACATCATAATCATCTTTTCATCAAATCATTCATTTCATCTCTATTTACCTAGGTATGAATATGGTAGACACTCTACATGACCTCTCTAGATACGGTAATAATTTACAGAGTTACATCTCCAAACGAATGAGATGCGAACCTATAAAAATACCATGCATGTATTTTGTCTACCTTCCCAATAAAGTCGTTACAAATGATCATTAGGCTTCTTTTATTCATGACTTTATCCATCCATATCACCCGGTCCCTTTGCTCTACCCATTTGACGTGCCTTGAGCAATTCATCACAAAGCAAGAGATTGGATGCAATACCAGAACTCGATGCAACACAATTCCTCAGTACACGGAAAGAATCATATACACCCTCCAAGACTGGATCCATAGGTTCACCGGTCTTGAGATCAAGACCGACAACGTTGCCTTCTGCTTGCTCATCTTGTAAGCTAGCAACTGTGATACATATTAGCGCTATGAATAAGGTTTAGGTGGAAATGCAACTTACGGGAATCTTGAATATCATGACCAGCATTTGCTGCCAAAGTTTTGGGAATAACGAGAAGAGCATCAGCGAAAGCTTGAACACCCCACTTCGCCTTACCCTTGACAGTCTTGCGGAAAGCTTCGCTGTTTAGATGTGCTGCGCAAGCAACCTGGAAAGCACCAGCTCCTGGTACAACGCTCTTGTCTACAATCATGTTGTAAACACTTCGAAGACCATCACGGACTGCATCGGTGATTTGAGTAATGGTGTGTTGATTTGGTCCTTTGATGAGAAGGGTCACAGATTTTGGCTCCTTTACATCCTCGATGAAAGTGTACTTCTCCTCTCCCAATTGATGCTCATAAACATTTCCAGCCCATCCAAGAATTTCAGGGGTTAAATCGTCCACACTGTTCTGTGCTGTACCACCACAAATTAATTGTAATCTTTCCATGTTTCTTCGCTTAGCTCTTCTCAGAGCAAAGATTCCGTTCTTAACCAAGACATCGAGTGATAATGGATCAATACCCTTCTGGTTGATGATAACGAAGCCTTTCTTGGGGTCGTTTCCGCAAACCTCCTTCTTCAATTCAACAATTTTTCTCAATTTCTCGTCAACAAAACGACGCTCGCTCTCTACGAGTTTATCTCTTTGTTCCGCGCTTGAATAGTAGAAACCGGAGTTGATTTCAGACTTCTCGTACTCCAAACTGACGTTCAAGCTGAGAATAAATGCGTTCTCGACCTTCTTTGGCATATCTGGATGTCTAGCACCGTGATCTAACGCAAGACCACGAATCAGCTGAGTCTCTGAGGCAGTTCTGTGTTGCATCTTCATAATTTCGACCATGTGGAGATCAGGCTTTGCCGGGGCTTGGTAAATTGATAGGACCGCATCGACGATATCAGGAGTGAGCTTTTCCGCCAGAGTGTGGTTAAGTTTTGTAGAAAGGGAGGTTCGCGCAACGCAAAGTAAAAGTTCACGGTCGACTTCCTTCTCGATTTTGAAGGTGTCCAAGAACTGCAAGCTGTCAGTATTACCCCGCCAATAATTGATATCCTACCAACCTTCAACGCCTCTGTCTTTGCAATCTCATAACCATCTGTGATAATTCTGGGATGCAAACCTTCCGAAATATATCTATCTGCCTGTTTCAAAAGCTCTCCTACGAGAAGAACAACTGAGGTTGTGCCATCACCACAAATATCATCTTGTGCGGTTGCTGCTCGTGCAATCATAACTGCCGTAGGGTTTTGTATTTGCATTTCACGTAACAGAACGTTTCCATCCTTTGTAAGTTTTATCTGCGGAACGATCATTAGAAGGTTGTTTTCGCTGTTGCATCAAGAAGGCTTTCATACCGCTCCAGCACCGTCAACCAACCTTTGGAAATGTTAGTATATGCTAGGCTTGGTGGGAGGACGAAAACTAACATTTTTATGGTTCCCATAGGACCCAAGTTTGACTTTAAAACATCCTGTAAACCTTCACCTGCATTGATATTGACTTTCAAAGCTTCCCCTCTTCTCTACTACAAATCAGTAGCTGCATCTCAAATTTAGATAGGTAAAATCATACTCTGGACTCCGCCTTTGGGTTCAATAGTTGTGCGGCAGACATTCTGAAAGAATACAATAACTTCGTATGTAATTAAAATGAAGTTATATGGCGTTATCGTGGCGAGAAGCTGTGTATTTTGTCCCTCAACGTCGCGAGCTTTTTTTTCTATGGGCGACGTGAATTCCCACACGAGGTTCACGCTAGTCTCAATTTGGTACTACGGCGAGGCTACCACTTTAAGCTACAAGGCATTGTTTACGCTGACCACGAATCTGTTGATATAATTCCATCAATTATTTGTTCATTATTTGTTCAATATTCTCAAAATGTATCGAGGCTGGAATCTCGTATTGGCAATTATTGTCACTCTTCTCTCTGGAGAAAGTCTTGGGTTTTTGTCATGGCCATTTAAATTTCAAACTGTTGCTGTACAAGAGCCTATCATAGAATCAACCACGTACGAGTATGCTGATAGTCATGCAAAACGAATTGCAATTATTGGTATGTATTGATACTTCTTTCCATGCTATTATCATCAATGTTGCCGTGTGATCTTCCATGATGATCTTCCTTTTATTAAATACAACTTTCATTATGATTCCTCTCTTTCAAAGGGGACCCAAAATAGGGGTATTGCCCCGTCCCTTAGCTGGCTACTCTCTATCTGTCCCCTTCGCTTCTCTTGCATATTACCTCGAGGTTCATGGAAATCTGCATACCCATCAGATATTCTGATGATATGTACCTCTATTTAGCATCAACATACAAGTAATCTCCCAATTGCCTTTCACTAACAGAATATCAGGTGCTGGAGCAGGCGGGTCTTCCTCGGCATATCATTTACAGAAGTATGCTGCTGAATCCGACCTTGCAATTAATGTCACTGTTTTCGAACGATCCTCTTACATTGGAGGTCGTTCGACCACAGTCAATGCATATGGTAATTCGCTGGAGCCCGTGGAATTGGGAGCCAGTATTTTCGTTGATGTCAACGCAATTCTAAAGAATGCAAGCCGAGAATTCGACTTGCATGCAAAATCGTCCAATACCGAAGTCACTGAAATCCTTGGTATCTGGGATGGCGCAGAATTTGTTTTTACTCAGAAAGATAGCGATTGGAAGTATTGGGATATCGCAAAATTGTTTTGGAAATATGGATTTGCCCCTTTGAAGACTCAACGCTTGATGAAAACTGTGGTTGGAAAGTTCTTACAACTTTACGAAGCACCATACTTTCCATTTAGATCTCTCACGGAAAGGATAGAGGAATTAGACCTCAAAACTGTGGCATCCATAACGGGCGAACAATTTTTGGCTCAAAACAATGTGAGTCTAACTAAATGTATGTCCTGTCATAAGGAAACTAACAATATTTAGATTGAGGGCTCATTCACAACTGATCTAATTCAAGCATCTACTCGGGTCAACTATGGTCAAAATTTAAACGTCATTCACGGCGTAGAGACCATGGTTTGTATGGCAATCGACGGTGCAATGCAGATTCAAGGCGGTAATTGGCAAATCTTTGACAACATGATTCAATCCTCAAATGCCACTGTTCGTCTAAACCACACCATTACCGAGATTTCCCAAGTTCGAGATCAAGAGAGGTATAATGTCAAAACCATTACTACAGATGCTATCGGCGTTTCTCATATCAATGAAGAACCATTCGACACCATCATTATCGCCGCTCCACTTCAATATACCGATATCAAAATGTCGTCTGACCTCCTTCAACATACCCCCGACGAAATCCCCTACGTAACCCTTCACGTAACCCTCTTTACCTCTCCCTATGGCCTCAACCCAGCCTATTTCAACATCGGTCCCAACGAGCAGGTCCCCACCACAATCCTCACTACTCTCCCAAAAAATATCCCCGCTCCCACTGATCCCAAAGACTTCGCCGGCCCCGTTGGCTTTTTCTCCATCTCTACTCTCCGCAGAGTTATCAATCCTACCACCCTCGAATACGAAAATCTTTACAAGATTTTCTCTCCTCGCCCCTTGACTTCCGAGTTCCTTTCCTCAATCCTCAACAGTGAAGTCCCTGTCCCTGAAGACCTTACCACCATTTCTCCCACAGCAAACAACACAATAACATGGTACCACCCCCACGTCTGGAACTCCTATCCATACGAATACCCTCGCGTAACATTCGAAGAGATTCAACTAGCGCCTGGTATTTACTACACTAGTGGTATCGAATCTTTCATCAGCACTATGGAAACAAGTGCATTGATGGGGAAAAATGTCGCAAGATTAGTAGTTGATGATTTCTTGAAAAGCACAGAAATCAGCTCAGAGCCAGTCGCCGAAGAAATTGAAGTAGGGAATGTAATCATCGAACCAGAGATTGGCGTTGGTAGCGACATGCCTGTAGTTGGCGAATTATGATCGTCTGTTATTCCTGGGTTCTATAGAGATAGGCGTTTGTCCTTTCCAATTTCACCTCGTCTTTTCTATTGGAGAGATGCCTATTTTTGTATTACTTCAACTAAAAACAGCCAAGGAGAACGGATTTCTACTTAAATCTGATACTATACTACCTATCTAACATTACAATAAGATATAAACCTCAATATACTTTCACTGTATGCCTTCAATATAGTAGCTTGACTAAAAACCTCAAACATCCCTTGAACTCTTACCATTCACGCAGAAGCCCCCAAGCTCAAGGATCAATCTCTCCCTCCTTTAACAATGTGCCACCCAAAGCAATCGAGCAAGCTCGGTCCACAACCTTAAATCCATTCCACATCTCAAGCATCATTATACCAGTTATCATACTTATCTTGTTCCCTTCTCTTTTTCGGACTCGGTCGATTCAAAGCCCACGGCGTGCTCCTCTCCACCTCTATTTCTCCCGATTTAGGCGAAGGTCCCGCCCGCCGAACCATCAGTTTCCCCACAGTATTCATTCTATACTCTTTTCCAAGAAACTGCGGAGAGACAGGGCCCTCTACTCGTTGTCTCTTTGCATCGCGATCAGGCGCCACAGGAACTGGTACTGGTAGTCTACGTTTAGGCGGGGCTATTCGGCGTTTGAGTTTTCGAGCTTTTCTTTTCGGGATCATTCCGACAGGAGGGGGAGTCTTTGTCCAGGGACGAGCTTCTTCTTCTTCGGGTGTGCGCATTCTTTTTACGCCCCGCTCGATGGCCAAGGCCCTTTCGAACATTGGTGCTGCTCTTCCTTTTCCTTTTTCTTTTGCCTGGTTGTAGGCGCGTTGATCTTCTCCTTGTGGAACGTATCCTGGATCATTTGCATCATCTTCTGGGTCGTCCGCGTCATCCTCAGGATCATCTTCTGGGTCATCAAAGTCTCGCGGTACAGGATCTCGCACCGGCTTTCCATCTGGCCCGATTGCTCTCCAATCAGGGAATGCCTGGTGGCTTATCGGTTCTCCCAATTCGAACGGCATTTCTCTATATCCCATTTGAAGCGCCTTGCGAGTTGGAAATAAAAGATCAACATCATCGTAATCATAATCATCTTCGGCCCGTTTCCACCACCTTGGATTACTGTAGTCTGGTTTTCGTGGCTGCCTCTCCTTTTGCAACTTGATTACCTCCATACCTTGATCTTCACTCGGTCTCCGAGGAGGGTCCGGATATTTTTCATCCCACCCATATTCCCCCCCATAAATGCCTCCCAAAAACAAGTCATGACTTTCGCCAAAATTCCAGAAATCTACAGATTCTTGTACCTGTACTAGTAAATCCCGTACATCCGGACGTGCTCCGGGATAATATGCTAAAGACTTTAAAATCAACCCCCTAAATCTTCTACTATAAACTTCTAGTTCGGGATGCAAGAGCCATTTGCCCATGGTTCTGAATGTCTCGGAGGGGTCGGGGTCGACTCCTGTCTCAAAGAACTCATTTTCGGCTACGTGATTGTTATTTACCAAGCATTGGTAAATAACATTAGCAACATTCCACACGTCGGTTGCGGTGCCTATTACGCGGTTTGGATTGGCGACTGAGTATTGTTCCTATTAATGCATTAGTTGGAGTGACGCGAATCGTAAACTCGATCGAAAGCGGAGATTGAAAAGCAAGGAAAACTAATAGATAAGGTTCATACAGGTGCATGGTAGGTGTTGCGTCCTTGAGCTATCTTGAGCCATGCTCGCCGTTTGGCAGCACTCTTTTTCAATACTTCGGCGTCAGGAACCTCAAGTGCGAGCCCGAAGTCCGCAAGCTATGGTTGGCCTTGGGTTAGCACTATTCGGGTTTGAATCCTCAACATTTGAAATTGTGAGATTTTGTACATATCTGTATGTATCTATACGCACCTTGTGAACTGATATACGTTCATGGCCTGGTCGAGGATTATCACCGATTCTGCATTGTGAAACATTTAGTACTCAGTCCTCTGATAGAGGTTCTGTATATCTGTAATGCAGTCTGTTTACATTCGTGTTCCTTGTTTCCAATATGGAAAAGAATGAGTACAAAGACTTTTACTCACAAGACTATACAATGTTAGCACCGTCGCTGGCAAGCGAGCTCTGCTTCTCGGAGCAACTTACTATTTGGCCCCTTGATATCAAAATGCGCAATTTGTTGATGCTGACGATCCTTTGGCTGCTCTTCAAAGATTGAATCATTTGGATTCTCTGTCCCATATTTCAAAACCATCAGTGCCTTCAACAAACATTCCCATATTCTAAAAATATATTCCTCTGGAGGGCGCTGGTTCTGGCAATTCTCGTACATCCAACTTCCTAGGTCCCCTCCAGATGCAAATTCTAAATAAATCCTCGCGATATCATATTTTCGCCTGAGCTGTACCTTAATATTGGCGTCGCGCCTCTTTTCATTTTCCAGCCAATTACCATAATCCACAATAGCCCGGTCTGTAGCGTCGTTTGTCCCCTATGTACGACTGTGTTAGTAAATCATTATACCAGGGCATCTTCCACTGCAAGCAGTATCTTCTGAGCTGAACCATAAAAGGAAGCAATAGCTTACCGTGCCCATAGTCCGATGATAAGCCCTATATATCTTGACGATATGATCACTGTCATACTTCATAAGACTTTGCATCATCCTACTCTCCTGTTTCAAATTCAAACCTGGTCCTCCTTCCTGTTTAACCACCAACCTCCGCGGCGATACATCTGGGTTGTTTCCTCGATATTCAAACAGGGTAGCTATGCCATAAGAACCTTCACCCAGACGCTTGACGGCAACCCAATCTTTACCAATGTGTACTGGCGCCCATCCTTCGCTCTGTTTGAGGTATCTCTGGGCCTCTTCCATAGCTGGATCGATATTCATCTTGACGTATGGTTGTAAGAAATGGCGCTTCAGAGATCAATATAGGTGATTACACATGAAGTTGTAGAAATTTGAATCTTGGATTATATTCCCCTTAATGTCTATCGAACTTGTGCTTTGCGATTCAATGAGCGTACCTTAAAATTGGAAGGCTTTGTTCAGTGTGTACTTTCCGGCAACACAAAGAGAGCATTCATGCCGGTTGATGCGCTGAGGTAGTTTCGAAGCATTACGACAAAGAAGATTGTGCACTTCAACCAAACCAATCGATGGAAATTCGTCACTTTATGAGACACGTTGAACAGCACCTCCATGGGAATGTAGATAATTTGACTTTATATAGAGTATTTATTACTCCATTCTCTCCATCTAAGAGTGTTTCTTATATATGCAAATGAGATACCACCTGAATTCCTGCCTCTTGACCAGTTATCAAGTACCCCGACCCATTCACCATCGACTTTTCTCCAGTATAATGCCAGCAAAATATGAACAAAGAAAATGAATAAACTTCACCCTCTAGTCGCAGAGCAGTACATGCTCAACTTAACAAGAAAAGGGTAATAACTACATATTACCCCTACTGTAATCACAATTCATAAAATCCGTAAACAAGAAAAAGGTTGTCGCTGAAAAGCATCGCGCCAGTGTGCATTCAAAAATGCATACACTTGAAGAATCGAACCACTTCTTCCCCAGTAGCAATTACAAATTATGATCTCACGCTTCCATCCCAATTCAACTCCCTTACACTGACCTTCGTCCCTTCCCTATCGCTATGCTTCCCCCTTACACTTCCTCGCCTCCAATCCATCAGACTCGATCTCTTTGATCTTGTTGACGCCATTGTCTTTCCCGTTGTATCTTTTGAAACTTTGCTTTCCTTCGATGAGGAAGAATTGCTTCCACTATCACCGTCGCCTGCTGTGCAGTTTGCAGAATATGTATTGTTTGCAGAATAGTATTCGCCGTCTACATATACTGCATCAGAGACAAATGTGCTGCGGCGGTTTCGACTATTGATATATCGCTTCTCAAGTCTGTAGAGCTCCAACTTTTGGTTGATCATGTCGATAAGCTTAACCATGGTTGCGTTTTTGTGGGTTGTGGGGTGTGGAGTGGTTGAGTGAGATTGATATCGAGGGAGGATTGGCCGTCAGGCAAAATGAAGGAGAAGAGAAGCGAGAGACTGAATAGATTGGTTGGTTCAGAGAATGTAAAGATTGATATCGGAAAGGATTGATGAATCGATTTCGGAGAGAGTATTCTGAGCCTGTCAGATGTGCTTCGTCTGTATTATCTGCGAAACGAATACAGGAATAGCTTTTCTTATCCGTTAAGATCAAATATCAAACAAGTCGTGAGATTTCGTTTGTATTAGGTGAGTAGATGAATGAAGAAGTACGATATTTACAACAGTCGATTAAATTCAAAAACTTGGAGATGTTTATGTGTTTGTATATACTTCGAATGTGCGTCGAGTCAAAAATTCTCAAGAATGGATAGATAAAGATGAACAGACCTTAACTACACCGAGTTGTTGAGGCAAGACAGAAAGAAAAGAATACCTTCTGGTCCTTGGCGATAAGCCATATAGAAAGCTCTAGTCTCTACAGGTAAGTGTGCCCCGTAGCTCTTCATCCACAGATTTTCTTACTTGCTTCTGCTTGCATTTCTGCACATTTGTTGTGTACCCTGAGATTTCCTCGAATTTGGATACTGCTCCATCCAAATCATTCGAAAATCCACAAGAAATGAGTTAAATACAAGGATTCTACATGAATTATCATTTTATCCATGACAGTCTAAGACAAATAAAGCTGCGTTGATCCGATGAAAAGTGGACGCTTCTCATGGAGAGTGGCTCGGAAACTGGCGTGGTCTGACCATTCAGATGGAAAGTATGGATCTTCGCCTAGTATCCAATGATATTAGATCATAATCGGAGCGTTAGACTTGAATAGTACAAGCTCAAAGGCACAATTAGCCGTTGGCACGTTTTCTACATTGAAAGTGGTCAGGGTAGCACAACTTCCCAAGCAGCCCCGGATGTTTCCCTGGAAGAATTCAAGAGCATGGAAGACGCCATCTGGACCCATCACTACATGATCAAAGCGTTGTCAAATCAAATTTCCCTTCGGGAAGAGGTCTAACTAAGTGCTAGAAAGGCTCTTGTCAGTCTCGCCTTCATTCCCCAGCCGACTTTGTGACTCGTTAGGTCTTTTTTTCTGGATTTAGAACCCGTCTTCCCGAGTAATTCTAAAGTGGGTGCTTGTCTAGATCAATTTCGTGCAGCCCCGAACAAAATCATCATCATCATGCTTATTCAATTCCATAAGTTGTACAGCTGAATTCATGAAACAGATACAAACAATGCACGATAATGCGTTCACTTTGTAAGTTGATGCTTGGTGGTCTGTACTGTACAGTGGTTGAGGGGTAAATGTTATCCAGTGTTACGGGGGTTCGAAGCACACAAGAAAGTCTGGTCCCACTTGTATGCAGCCTCTATTGGTGGGACTTTCAATGTGAAAGGGGGTTTACCCTGCGGCAGGTATGCACCTGGCCCATTCAAGATAACAATTTCTTATCGATCAAATCTATCTACTCTCTGCTTTCGAGACGTCGGGAATATCGACCTCTCGTTCTTTACCTTTCTCCGTTTCGGCAAAAAGAGTTTCTTGAACTATAATAATGGTGAGACAGAGCACACAATGATAAGGATGAAATAAGATGCTTACCACTCCAGAGATCGGAATATACCCCACCAGTATCAACCAGTTCCCTATGCGTCCCACTTTCAGCCACTGACCCCTCCTTCAATACTATGATTTTATCGCTATCAAAGATTGTTCGAAGCCTATGGGCAACGAAAACGCTAGTCCTTGATTTCTCTTTCAAAATACTGTTGATATTTTGCATGAGTGCCTGTTCCGTATGTGTATCCAATGCAGATGTCGCCTCGTCAAAGAATAACAGCGGAGGATCTTTCAAGATGAGTCTTGATACAGCCAATCTTTGCTTTTCTCCTCCAGAAATCATCATTCCCCGCTCGCCAACCATGGTTTTGTATCCATCGGGGAGCGTTGTGATAATGCTATGAATCTTTGCACGTTGTGCTGCTTCTTTGACTTTTTCGTCAGATGCCTCCAAATTACCATATCTGATGTTGTGTTCAATGGAATCATTGAAAAGAGGTGTGTCTTGAGGAACGACGCCAATGGCTCTCCTAAGTGTCTCCAAACTCACATTTCGGATGTCTTGCCCATCAATTAAGATTCTTCCCTCTTGAACATCATAGAAACGGAATAAAAGTCGCAGGACTGTTGATTTTCCACAGCCACTAGGTCCAACAATAGCAATCTTTTTGCCAGCAGGAATGGTCATGCTGAGATTCTTCAGGATCGGACGGTCTGGATGGTAACCAAAGGTTACATTCTCGAATGTGATCTCGCCACCTTTAGTTAGCTGCAGGGGCTTCGCATTCGGAGCTTCCCTGACCGCCACATTAACCTTTTGCAGGTTGAAAAGCGTTTCCATGTCCAATAAGGATTGTCGAAGTTCTCGATATACTGATCCGAGGAAATTTAAGGGAACCGAGAGTTGAAAGACCAATTGGTTGACCATTACAAGATCACCCACTGTCAAGTTTCCTGTAGCTACACCATCTGCGGCTAAGTACATCATGGCAGTTAATGCACTTGAGAAGATCAAGTTTTGTCCACTATTGAGAAATGCTAAAGATGTTGCGACCTTGATGGATGATTTCTCATAAGCTTTGAGTGCCTGGTCATATCTACCAACTTCGTATTTCTCGTTATTGAAGTATTTGACTGCCTCATAGTTGATCAGAGAGTCTACAGCAACTGTCGAACCTTTGTTATCGGCGGCATTGGCAGCTCTTCGGAATTTTGTTCTCCAAGCAGTAGTCGAGATGGTAAACGCTGTATATCCCACCATGGTGAGAGCTGTGATGGCCGCAAATTTGGCACCATATTGATAGGTCAAGATACCGCAGACCATGGATATCTCTAATACTGTCGGAAAAATGTGAAAAACCATGGATGTAAGCAAGAAGCTAATACCTTTTGTACCCCTATCGATAGCTCTAGTCAATCCACCGGTCTGCTTCGAGAGATGGAAATTGAGATCGAGTCTTAACAGATGATCAAAAACATTGCAAGCTACCCTCCTAATAGCCTTTTGAGCAACACTAGCGAAGACAGCATTCCGTACTTCTTGAAACAAAGTAGCTCCGATTCTGGTAAGTCCATAAGCCAATATCATTGATCCGGCGACGGTTGTAGCTGTGCCTCCAAGAGCAGCAAAATCAACATTCATAGCGTCGACAATGCTTTTGAAGTAGAAAGGTACTTGCACATTCAACACTTTAGCTCCAACTAACAACCCGAGGGACAATCCAACCCGGACTCTTGTTCCCATATTGTCTTTGGGCCACAAATACTGTGACATCTCTTTTATAATCGCCCAGTCCGCCTTCCTTTGCTCCTTATTTGTTTTGTCATCAAGGGCCAATGGATCTTTTCTTGCCGTTGTCGGTATGGCAAGAGGGGCTTTTTTTGCCGTCTCAGGCGTTGACCCAGGTATATCATCTGCTGATTTCGCATTTCTTAAAGATTGGCTCTGGATAGCACTGCCTTTGGGAATGTCTTTCAATCGTCGATTGGTGCTTGTGAACACCCTGAGGCCTACCCCCGGCTGTGCCCATCGTGGATGTCGCAATGAAGCCTTTGCATATATGCAAGAAGCTCCATGGAAGCTGTGTAAGCTTCGGAAGCTCATCGTAAACCAAATCTATTCTCACTGCCCATAGATCATCGACTGCGCATGCCTCAGCTATTCCAAGAAGACCCCCATGTATAAAGTTGTAGCTATCGATAAGGAATCAACAAACGTCCAGAATTTAGAGATTTGTCCAATATGGAAATGCTGTCAAAATAAAGTGAAAGAAGCACAATTGAAAGAAATATCGTTCTCTT